AGAATTAAAGTGAATTTGCTTTTTAAGCTTTCCTATCTGGATTCAAATTTTGTACCAACCTTGGGTTATCTTAACCCGGCTTTGAACAACCCGGCCCTGGTCTCTGGCTGCCCTGAACCATCGCAGCTAATAGGCCGGACATTCTGCTAAAGAACAAGAAGGACATTGCCTTCTCATTGACATGATTATACCCCTCGAGACCAAAACCTCGGTCACAACCACGGAAAATTTTAATAAATATGAAGACTTGGAAATCGAGGTTGAGCGAATGTAGGAGCTCAAAACAACAACAGTCCCGGTGGTTGTGGGAACCCTTGGCACCGTAAAGAAGGACATTAAAACTACACTAGCAAAATCCCTGGCAAAATCACTACACATGGACTCCAGAAAATAACTCTTCCTTCTACAGCCCACCTTCCCAAGCGGGTCTCTCCATCAAGTACAAACCCTCTTTGCCTCCCAAAGTCCATGGTTTGGACTCGGATATTACGAGAGAAATGACTCGCAATTACACTAGTATATCTTATATATCTTATATATAATAACTAGTTATAGCTATCGCTAAGTGCCAACGAGCAAAGATTTTAACTGTACGCGCGCGCCGGTTGAACTTGTTTAGTAATGTCATGAAATATAGTAATTGATGGAAAATAGATTGAACTTAATTCGATTTCATTGAAACTAGTGCAAACTTAAAGCAAAGGGCACACATACACCAACTCACGGCCGGGCTAGTACCTCACGCATGCGGACAGCCATATCACGCGGGCAGTGGTAGCCACAGACAACTGTTTCGCCCTTACTGGGGACCACTAGCGTGGCAAAGCCGTTGGGATAATGAACGGGGATAAGCCGTGTCTCAAAAACCCGTTACTGCCGAGGTGAGTGCAAAGCGTTCTATCAAGCGCCAGCTCCACACAACACATGTGGAGGCTGTTTGCTGCGAACCGCAGAGCAGTTCTACCACGACATGCGCGGGGAAGGTGGATCACAAGTAGCTCCTTTCTTCCCTCAATGTTACATCGATTCGTAATTTTTTCTGCCCCGGGAACAATCGCGCACGGCTCTATTAGACTGCCGCCTCGCAGCCTCGCGTCTTAGCGAGGCTGCTCGTTGGCAATAATACATTTAAATAATAAATTTAAGCTTTTAGCATCCAGTTGAGATCTCTGTTATAACAAAAAATCAACAATTAGATTTGCGCAGTTTTTTTAAGGCATTGTGATTATCAACTGCGCATAACGGCGATTGATAACTAAATAAATTATAAAAGTTTATCAAGTTTAAAGTTGAAAAGTTAAAAAGAAATAATGAACTAAATTCACCTTGTTTGCCCTCCACCCCCACCCTTGCCAAATGAAGTGCTGTAGTAGTCCTAAGACAATGCTTACGCATTTTTTTAAGGGGGGGGAGGGGGCAGAGGGGGAAGAAAGGTGTATTATGGGAGATATGCAAATAGCGAGTAAAATTTAAAAAAAGTGATCATACACGAAACCTACTTATGAAAAAGCTTAGCTAAAAAGATAACTTTTAACGTCTTTTTAACATGGTCAACAGATTTGGGCATCCCATCAGGCTGCATTCATTATGTGCACGTTTACCACAAGGGGGGGGGGGGGGGTTGGGGAAGAGGATTTTGAAGGGGGGTCTTTTTTGGAACTATATAAAGGAGGAGACTGGTGAAAATTTCTGAAGGAAGGAAGGGGGGATGCAAATGTTTTAGATGTTACTTGAAAGATTTGGTAAATGCAACATTTTTGAACAGCACAATGAAAGTGCCAATAATGAAATGATGAAATTTTGTGAGACCAGGCTGGTGTGCATGTTACATTTGTAAGATAAGTAATGGAGACTTTTAGATTCTAAAACGAGAACGACTACGAGTACGAGATTTTCCCAACACTAAGTAGTCCTCGCGCGTGAACCAGCGTCATTTTGGTTGGAAAACGTGATAGACCTCGTCATTCTTCATCATTCTACTACGAGTTTCAGCGAGAATGTCGTAATCGTAGAAACAAGTTATCAAATGTTAGAAGTTTTATCATTTTGCGATCGGGAGAGGGTGTAACCTCCTTCAATTTAGATAACAGTGCTAACTTTTCTTGTGAAAAATAGTAAAATTATTACTGAGAATTAAAAAACCTTTCAGTCAAATCCCGTCCTCGAATCTAAAGGTCGCTGATATCTCTAGACCGATGAGTAAATCTAGATCATGAAGTACTTGCTTGTCACTTGATGTCACTACATAAGGCCACACGTTTCTAAACTTGTCTTAAATTTAAACAGAGATATTCTAAAACTTTTTGACAGGATAAATTTGCTATACACCATAGGTAAACATCCTGATGTCCACTAATCAATGGGACACGCTGATCACCAAAAATCTCACTTTTATTGACTTCAAAGTTCTTTTTATATCGTGCCTAAACATCGGTTTTGACAGAGTAAAATTTGATTTTTTTAAAAAAAAAATTGGAATACGTCGGTATGGTCTCCTAAAAACTGTATCGAAACACTATGATTTGCATATTATAATTATGAATAGGCAACAATAAGGACAAAGACAAAAATTCTTTTGACACCTCCCGCGATTCTACTAATATGAATAGTAACAATGATGATGAAGATGATGATGATGGTGATGACAAGAATAGAGTTCTTATTTAGCGCAACATATCCTCAAAGTCTATGGCGCTTTACAATACTCAAAATACCAAGATAAAAATTTAAAACAATTATAATTTGTCAGATGATTAAAAAAAGGTAAGTATTAAAATGTTTCTTAAAACGTGAGGAAAAAGTCTCAGTTCATTTACTTTCTTTTTAAGGGATCTATAATAAAACCTCAACACAAGCAGGGGCATGTTCTCTTCAAATTTGGTCGTATTTTGTTCTTTAAAACATTTAGGGATTGGATTGATTATGAGCTATTAGGTAATGAATTCCACTAAGTCTTGGGGCAGATTATAGTGATGATGATGGTGATACCAATATTCTGGGCAAATATCTTAGCGGTGATGGGAGAACAAGTTGCAGTGAGTCACCTATTATAGTTATTGTAGTTAATACGTGAACGAGGGCAGCAGTGACATACGAAACAAGTTCCTTTGTTTCATTCGCTGGCTGTAATGGTAATTGTAATTATAATTATTATTATCCACTCCGTCGCGGCGTTTCAGGGATACCTTACAACACTGGTTGGGGGACTTTGGGCTGAGTAATGATACCCCCACGTTAGTGTGAATTTCAGATAGACCACTACACCGGAGACTACGACCCCTACTCTTTACGAAGAGAATGTGGGTTCTTTAACGTCTCACCGAATTTATTACATGTGCAAGGCTTGTGAGACGGCGCCTACAGTTTATCGTCCTTATCCGAGAGGACTACAAAATCCAACCGTTTGCAGATGTTATTACAAGGCAGCACTTTCTACTCAGTTATTTTATAGACCCTGAATGTTGGTCCGGCCGGGATTTTAACGAACGACCTCCCGTTCAGACCGGCGCTTATCAACTTGAGCAAACCGGGCGGCTCAATTGAATAGCAACAAAAACGATGTTCGTAAACAGCGGGTATTGCTGTACATTTGTAAAGCGGCATGTCTTTCCTATCGAGAAAGGAAATAAGCAACATTAAAGTTCCTGATCTGTTGTTTCAACTTTTTCTAAGAGGCAATTGGTCATTTGCACATCTCCCATAATACACTTTGTTTGCCCCCCAAATGTTTACATAACCTTAAAGTTTGTTTTCTTTTATTCTTCTGGGTATTACAGAGGTCTCAAGAGAAATTGAGAACAATAAGTATGCAAAATTCTTAGGGAAAACAAGGTGTATTGTGGGAGATGTACAAATGGCGAATGGTCAAAGTCCCTTAAAGAGAGAGGGCATTTGCAATATTACCTGACGGTCATGTAACTTGTCTTTAGTTGAAATTTATTTGTTAATATATAATTTTCTGTGTACAAAGGTTTTCCTTCTAACTTTCAGTATCTTATCTTATCGATTTTAACATCAACTGACAACTTCCAAGAAAATTGATTACATCAATGCAGCGCTTGTGAATATAAACAATTCCGCCAATTATCAACAAGTGACCAAACTGGTCTCAAGAAAATTGCACCGCACAGAAAAAAGTTATCAAGTGCAAAAGTCTTACGAATGATTTTCTGAGTTGTGTTGATTTCTCTTGTTGGAACTTATATGGCAGGTGCTTTGTCTTGTAATTGCCATGAATTGCTAATTTAAGAAGATATTATCCAAGATGTCTTGTTGCCAAAAGGCGACAGTTTCACTGGAGACAACAGGTTGTGCATTCGAGATTTCTGTATGCAAATTAAAAAACCGTGAATTTGAGGTTTTGTGAAACTTGGTTTCAATAAACAAACAAACCTATGTACATCAAAATATTTGACGCTTTTTTCAGGACAAAAATCGCGCCCGCTGGAAAGAATTTTTTTTATTTTCTAATGAAGCATCGAAAATTCTAGATGTCGTGAAAACTGAAATGTTTGCCAGAAGAAGTGTTTATCCGCCTGGTGGCCACTTTCACTGTTTAACTGGTTTTATACATAAAGATTTATTATGTCCCTGGAATCATTACAACAGGTATGATATTAACTTCACGTATGATTTGAAGTAAAATTGTGTCTGCCAAAGCAGAATACCTATATATATTTGTTTCGAATCCCGATCAGGTGCCTGTTAAGAGATGTCACAGCGACAGCCAAACATGCAAATGTTAAGATAACGAAATCGACAGTTACTTCAAGCTAAAGTGAAGCATTGCAGACCGAACAAGCAAGGCTTAAAGTGAAGAATCTTATGCGGGTTTTTGGCTGCTACAAACTCGAGGAAACAAAGCGTACATGTGCAACAACCCACCAAAAGACGTGAACGTCTGTGCATCAAAAACCTGTCACTTCGTGCTGATTCACCCACTGAAATTAAATTCAGGAAATAGTTCCAGGTCTGTGTATGTTCTATTCTAGCTAGCTTAAATGGATGAAGAAAAGACTCACGGACCCATGGAAAAGGAAGACGGAAGTTTAGATTTGATTCGAACAGAAAAATTAGAAATGACATCAAGCGTTGAAAACGAAACTCTCTTTGAAGAGAACATTGATAAGTCGTCGTTCTTGGAAAACACCAACAAATCAGGGGCGGAAGACAACGACTATAAGCCAGATATTGTAACTGCTTGTGAAGCATTTGATGATAACACATCCGAAGACTTCAACAGTGAACCTGAAGAACTGGAAAACGACGAGAGAGATGAAGGAGTAGGATCGTTACTAGATGAGATGTCAGCAAGTGCTGACCTAGAGACAACCGCAAGTCTGGAGGGCGACATGACACAGATTGTGGAAAATGATGTTGACGTGGCAGGCAATAACGGAGTCAGGGGGTATAGCACTATCGAAAACGAAGCGTCGAAAGAGGAACATGAGGATAAAAGTGATGATACACAAGAAGAATATGGTTTATTAATGGACGAAGAGATAACAACAGATTTTAAAGACGGTTCCAGTGGACCCAAAACTGAGTTTTCCAACCCGGACGCAAACGATAGTTTGCCAGAGTTTACTGCTGAAACGAGTGAGGACGGCGTATCCTTACAATATGAAGCGCATAAGAATGATGCCAAAGATGGTAGAGATGACAGTTTTTTTGACGAGGATAATTATGACGATATAAAACCGCACCTCAGTTCAGCTACAAACGAAGAGTTGGCAGAGAATAACGATGGACTATTGCAAGTATCCGACAGTGAAACTCTGACACCCAGAGACGAAAACATTGAAATGGAAAATTCCCCTGTTTACAAAGAAGCAAAAGAGAACGTACTAGAAAATTATAAAGAGTTTGAGATGTCTGATTCGAACGGTGAAAAGGTGTTACCCGACGACAATACAGATTATCTGCAAGAGTATGGCAAGGAGCTTTCTCAAAATGGCGCAGCAAATGTCCTCCCAGATCAAGAAACGGACAACTCTTTTCCATTCACTAAAGACGAAGCAGACGTGCCAGGAACAGGGGAAACCTGGACAAATAACGATGCAGGAGAGCAGGAGAGCTGTATTTCTGAGGAAGAAAATCGGTTTAAGAGTGACGACAAACAATTACGACACAGCAGAGGTAACACAGGAGGACATCAAAGCCAGGAAGATAAACCGCAAATGAAGAATCCCCCGCTGCATTCTGAGTCGCAGAGAAATGGAGAAATAACGCCACCATCTGATGACCTGCTACAAAATGGACCAGAGGATGGAGAAAGTGCTTTGCCTTTAAAAGATGACGCCACCAGACAACTGAGCGGGGATTGGTTTTATGCTGACGATGATATGTCTTCAATATTTTCTGATGACGGCCGAGATATATCCTCTGTTGTCCAGGAAAACAGTATTCTACGAGAGGCCATGATTCACTTGAGGAACGAAAACCCAGGAGGATTTACTGACACAGTCAGCGAAACATCAGACGACAATGACGATCTGTACCCTTACGGAACCCTGGCGCCAACGAACAAATTTATTGCAGATAGAGATTTGGACGATGCACGGCTGAATGAGGTACTGAGAGAGAAAAGGGAGGCTCAGGCAAAAATGCGACAGTTAGAAAGAGAAAAGGCGTCGGCTGATAGGAGGTACCGACAAGACAAAATGGAAAGAGATTTCCTAGAAGAAAGATTCGCGTTTAAAGCATCTCAACTCGAAGAGGAAATACGATGTTTAAAACAAGAAAACCAGCGGCTTAAACGTGGAGGTCCACAAGTCAAAGGAACAGCCCCTGCTTCGGAAAATAACACTCATGGTGCTCCAAAAACACCTGAAACGGACTCACTTAGCGAAAACGGAGAAGGCAGTATTCCAGAGAAAAATGGCTTTGCTAAAGATATCGCCATTTTGGCAAAGGAAAACGAGAAGTTAAGCGAAATAATAGACCACCTGCTTGAGTCTCCCAGGGATGATTCTCTTAACGATTTCGTTGACACTTTAGATAAATATGTACCCAAAGAAGAATACATTAGAGTTGAAAATGAAAAGTTTAAGCTGGAGACCGTGCTAAGGGAAAAGGAAAGACATATAAAGGAACAGGAACGGGTTCTCGAAGAGACTAGATTTGACTTGGAGGAAGAAAATGAAATTCTGAGAGAAAATTTGAGAAAGGCCGAAAATAAGAATAAAGAAAAAGGAAAACTTTTGAGCCAGTATGAAATTAAAATGATGGAAGTCAAGACGAAATTTACAGAAAAGGTTAGCAAGCTGGAGAGCAGACTGGACCAAGAGATTTCAAAAAAGAACAAACTGGAGTCTGTCATAATAAATCTTAAGAAATGTAACGAAAATTTCGATAAAGAAATTCAAGGCTTGAAAAATCGAGTGAAGAAGCTTCAGAATAATGAGCTTGAACTGGAAGAAAAGAATCGACGTGAAAAGGCCGACGTTGAAGGCCGTTTAAGCAAGGAGGCCGACGAGAAAGCAAAGCTCGGAAAGAACGTGGAGGCACTTTTACAAGATCTAATGCAAATGAAGAACAAGATGCTTGAAGAGACGGAAAAGCATCGCAACGAGAAGGAACAACTAAGGTCACACTTCGAAAACGAGAGAGCTAAGATGGCGGAAGCACAAGAAAGGGATAACCGTCGAATCATGTTTGAGTTGGAGGAAGAAAAAAAGCGAAACGAACAGCTCAAGAAACGCATGGCAGAGATTCCAGGAGAAACGATCGTTGCAGTTATGGAAAAGAAGACTGAGGCTGGACTCTTTGAAAGCACCTTCAATGGCACTGAGCCAGGTTTAGTAGAAAGAACACCTGAAGAAGTGCAATTCATAGATCTTGAAAAAAATAACGTTACTGCTATGAACGAACTACCAGCTAGAAATGAAGCACTGACTGGATATAAGCCTTTAGAAGATAATACAGGGAGTATTAATAACCTGCAGAAGAAACTGGCAGAGATGACAAAATTCAACAGCATCGTGCAACGAAGAAACAAAGAAATCGAGGAAGAAAACATTAATTTAAAGGAAAAGATGGAGCGAGTTGGAAGAGACGTACACAAGTTAAAAGAACTCGAAGACAGAAATGAAGAGCTACAAGAAGAAATGGGTCGAAACGCAAAAAAACGAAACGAACTACAAAAGAAACAGTCAGAAATGATGGAAGAAATCGAGGACATTTCTCACAAGTTAAGCAAGGTCGAAGGGAATAATTGTGATCTCTCAAATGAAGTTGAAAGACTGACAAAGAAGATAAAAATTATGGAACAAGAATTCGCAGAAGAAAAGGCAAAGTTGGTGTTCTCTCTAGAAAATGAAAAATCAAGCGCTCTCAACGAAACGGAGAAACGATTAAACGAAGACAAGGCAAAAATAAAGAAACTGGAGAGGGAGATTGATGATTTAAACTCGGACATTAACACTCTTAAAGACGCCAAAAGAGCAGCCGAAGAAAAGTTTGTTAATGATACTCGAGAACTTGTCGATAGACATAGTTCAGAGATCGCAAACGAAAGGGAGAGGTACCGCCAGCTACAGGATGAACTGAACAACAACGCTGGAGCTGTAAGAAGAATCACTGAAGAGTGGGAACAAATGCTCCGAAACGCGGTGAATCGTTATGAAGAGGATGTGCAAAAAAATGAAGAAGAACGAAGGAAAATGGCCGATGATTTTCAACGACAGAAAGAAGAAATGAAGTCTAGATTTGAAAGAGAAAAGGGGAAGTTGGAAGTAAGAGTACAAGAAATCGAGCGAATGAGAAGATCTCCATTCGAACTTGAAGTAATACAGGAAACTACAGCCGAATTTTCCGAAAATCCACAGAATTACATACAAGACGACGGTAATGAAGATTTTAATGAGGACAAAAGCCACATTAGTAACATTCTAGCAGAGAAACACGCAAAGATACGATCTCTTGTCGCACAGAAACAGAAGTTGGAGCAAAAACTGGAGCAAATGCAGAAAAGCTTCGAGGATGAAAAGAAAGATTTATGCCAGGAATACAAGAGAGAAAAACAGAAACTCGAAGAAGTACTCGCAGACGACTACAAAAGAAGACTGGAAGAAAGTAAAAGGTATTACGAAAGTCTCCTAGATGATCAACGAAAAAAATACGAGAAGAAGGAAGAAGAACTAGAAAATAAGTTTAGGAGAGAGAGAAAAGAACTGGAAGAAAAACTGAAACAAGAGCTCTCTAACGACTTGTCTTCAAGGAGCGCCGGGCTTGAGAACAAAATTCAAGATCTGGTTTCGCAAAAGGTGCAGGAGCAGAAGGAAATAACAAAGACCGTTGAGACACAAATGAGAAACAGGCTAAAGGACATACAGAACGAAAAAAATGAGAATAAACGACAATTCGAGAGAGAAAAGAAGGTATTGGAAGCCACTATTCAAGCGCTGACGAAAGAGTTAGCTAAAGCTAAGCAGGAGAAAAAAGATTTCAAGAAGAAACAGAAAAAGGATAAGGCAGAATTAGAGGAAGCATTTGAAAGCGAAAAGAGAGAGATGAAGCAGATGTGGGAGAAGGGCAAAGTGGACACGATCAACCGAATCGAAGAGGAATGGTCAGAAAAGTTAAAAACCGAACAGATAAAAACAGAGATCTTTAAAGAAGAACTACAGGAAAACTATAAAGCCAAACTTAAACAAATGACGATCAAGTTTAAAGCCGAGAAAGCAGAGCTAGAAAGGCGTTTGGCAGATGCTGCGTCCGAAACCACGTCTCTCGATGAAGCAAAACGGGAAATGCAGGCTAATTTGGAAGATGAATATAAAAGAAAATCACAGAGGGAAAGAGAAAACATCGAAAGCACCCTACAGGGCCTACGGCGTGAGATAGAAAAGCTCCAAGAGCATAGGAAGCAGCTTCAAAGCCAAATGGAACAAAGGGAGAGCCAGGCTAAGGCAAATGCCCCACCGTTGTTAGAAACCAACTCGCAGGTAAGGTTTTAATCATTGCACCAGTGTCATTTCTCTTTTGACCTGACAAAACTACAATCCTGCACAAAAGTCCTTGTGACAGTCATGCAATTTCGTAATCACCATTATTTTTTATGCCGCCTAACAAAAACATTACTATTCTTTCGAAAAAAAAACTAGTGCCTTGCCGTTCCTCTTACCCCACCTTAGATAATTTTGAAAGGTCGAAAAAATCGTGGACATACGAGTAGGGGGCGGGGAGAGGGAGGGTATGGGCATGCGTAGGTTTTTAAAGAGACAACACCAACACATTTGGTGGCACACGGGTGTTCCAACAGTCTCACATGAAATGAGTCTTTTACCTAGAATAGTGTTTAATTGCAGGTGTTAGCGAAGTTAGACAATGAGCATCAGGAACAACTGAAAAGAGAGAAGGAACAACATGAAAGCAAATTAAAAGATCTCCAAACAGAGATAGAAAAGCTGCACGAGGATCTTTCAGATATGAAGTCAAAGGCCCGTCAAGAGAAGAACCGAGTTAAGGCTGAATTCGAGAGGGAAAGGGAAGAAATGGAGGAGCAATTTGACAAAGAGAGAAACGAATGGCGCACTAGAATGGACATGATTGCATCAGTGAGTAGAATAGCTTTAAAAATAAACCTTAAACAAACCATAATTATCAACAACAACAACATCAGCTTGATGGAATGCTCCTCCTGACAGTTAAATTCAAGCTGTCTTCAGCCTCCCCTAATTATTCCCCTCGTTATTCAATGACAAACACATACAAAGTTAGCTGAACGCTGACGTTTTTCCATATACGACCCCACCTCAATTCAGAGCTCGCTTCTTCGTTACAATAAGTACCTACGAGTGCAACTTTACGAGGAAGTTATCACCGGTGTCGTACGCCAGGTTTGTGGTCTGAGGTTCACGTTGGTACGACTAGACCACGCTGTAGTGGTAAGTCATTTACCTCAAGGATCTTTTCACCCTAAAACATCACAATCCCACGTTTGCTGATTATAATTATAGAATTCATTTTTATAGGAAGACATCTCTCAACTCCGACAATAGAAGTAAGCGTATGAATGTCAACAGACTTGGCAGCCGTAAGCTACCACCCTCAAATAAGGGCAGACCGGTAACGGAAAACTGCTAACCGCAAACGGTGTTTGCCGTTTGCGGTAAGATGCCCAAACCTCAGCAACGAGATCAATGTAACAATTGACCATCAATGGCCTCCACGGTTGGTACTTGAAGTCCAACCTAATGGTCCCTAATGATATAAGAGGTTTCTCACGCTAATTAAAATTAAGTTGTTAATGCCTTACCTACGACTTGATCATTGCAGAGATCTGCTGCGCATCTTGAGCGAGGATCACGTGATGGCAGGCAGAGAGACTCCAATGGAAGAGGAAGAATGCACCGTGGTGGGAACACATGAAAATTTCTAGCTTCACCCACGCCCCAGTGACTGTGGAAATTATAATAATGTTCATTTATTTAATCAAGGGCAGTCATTCAAGCCCGGCATTTTTAGGGTTACCCAATACTGGTGTCGAGAGGGCTATCTTTCTAGGACATGGGCTTAGTTAAGTATCTTGCAGATAACTAAATGTTAGCTTTAGTTGTTTGTAATTCATGTTGTACATGGGGTAATGAATAGCAATAAGGGGATTTGTCATCGTAAAAGCACAGCATACGGTAAATCCGTCATTAAGCCCCCCCACCCGCCCTCAAATAGCAATAACTCTCTCCCATTCCCCTTGTTATGTATTTAACAATTAATGAATGAGGCCGAGTATCTTATGAAGAATTATGGAGATGGAGGTGGGTGTTATCCGTCGAGGCCGTAGTTCATTATCTTTAATTATTCATTCAAAATAACTCCTAGTTTAAAAACATGGCTAAAACATGCTTACCTCCATCGATCCATCGATGTTAAGTTCATCTTCGATAGTGCACGTTTAGTTTTGTCCAGCTCCGCAAATATTCTCCAAATAGCAAATGTCGCCCCTCGAGTTGTCTTCTTGCTGTTCTTGCCATGTTTTTAGCTATTTTTTCGCCTAGTTCTTACTCTTCAAACGAGTGAAATGACCGCCATTTTTGTTTCCACAACCAAAACAACTCAACCTCGTCCCCAGGTCTTCTCGGTTAACGGTGCCTTAACCTGCACGAACGCTGCATTTTTTACGTCATTTCCTCGTTAAACACAAAATTCTTCCAAATTTGGTCATCAGTAACTGGTTATGGTGAATTAAACGTGTGCTTTTAGGCAATCAGAATCGGGGAAATATTTTGAATGAATAATAATCTTTCTTAACAGATGGTAGACCGTATTAATCAATCACGACTGTAAAAACTTCGTGTAGACTGATCTAGGATGGTTTATTCAGCAACTGGAGGCTCAGATTTGTTTTTGATCCTCGGCTGCATGACCTCCAACTTCTTGTACTTGAGCTTTTCCAAATTGTATTTTAGTTCTTTATGGAATAAGCACCCCCCCCAAAAAAAAAATGCCACCCGTCTCTATTAAGCCCCCCTCCCCACCTCAAATGTGTTTGAAATAAACAAGCCCCCCGGAAGGGGGGGGGGGGGTTAATAGAGGATTTACGGTAATGAACTCTAGCACGCCAAGACGGATATTGCAGTCCACCTAATAAGCTCTGATATAAGGACGCATAACAGATAATCTGGCAACGTTCGGCCTGGACCAGCTTTAAAGAGATAAAGAAATTTAAGAGAAACAATCAAAATTAAACCCGGAAAAAGTTAAGCTCAAGAGAAATAACTTCCTTACCGAGAGTTTCACGGCAATAAAAACCAGCGAAATTCGGCATGTAGCACCCTAAAAACACCTCAGTGGTTGTTTGCCCACCAGGTGAGGTCACTAACCTGCGGTCAGTTAACAAGTTACAAGTATAGCTGAGGAGGGGGGCCAAGGAAAGAAACCAAAGCCGATTACAAAATGTCGTTAGGAACAGAGTTCTGTGTAACGATGACTTGGAGGGCTTTTACCACATGTCCCAAGTTCGTTTGACCTTCACTTGGATCGTCACATTTTGTTCCTTTTTGAAAGCGAAGCGATGGGTTCTAAGTTAACAAAAAAAATTAAGCTGACTTCTTAATAAAGAAAACTACACCATCAGCCTAGTTTTTTTAAAAAATTATCTAGTTAAGAGTATGTAAAAGTATGTGGACAAGCCATGCACTGTGTGAAATATACCGAAAAAAAGCCTTGAAGGATCAATTTCAGTTTCCGGGAAACTGCCCACCTACCCCTCCTTTAAGTCAACACTAACACTTACTTCTGACTTAGGGCAAAATGGTGGGTTAGGGGAGGGGTAGGTGGGCAGGTTTCCAGAAACCTAAATTGATACGCCTTGAAAACTATGAACATGAAAGCTAACATCTCTTAAGACGGACATCGTTACGTTTGAACAGGTCGTACTCTTAAAGGTGTCCACCTTCAAGAGTTGACGAAAATGAGTGAAGAATGGCATAGATAAACTCTAGGTGGCTGTTTTAGAGAGGGTTTCTATATAAAGATGTCTGTTAAGATAGCTTTAACTGTATTTTCTATGGTTACCATGCACGATATTCGTATACTGATAAGAGGGAGTATCCTTTTGGAATCACTATGTATTATTGTATGAATAAGTACGTTTTTCACCTTGTATGGTGATTATATAATTTAGCAAATTGATTAAGGATGGAAATAAAGATATGATTTTTGCAGCAAAAGCGGTGTGTCAGTGATAAGAATTTCCATGGACAATTCACATTTATAAGAACCTATAGTGACCAACAAATAAAGCGAGACATCTAGAAAACTCTGCAAAAAATCTCGCGCAAAGGTCCAGGATTTAGCATCCTTTTTACAACTTCAGTGACTTTAAAAAAACGATCCGATGTCAGATATTTTGACCAAATCATTATCAGTCTTTTTAATTTACGCTACCGAGTTGAAGATCTGAAACTGTGGAACGGTACAATGGACTTATATTTTAATCTATATGCGCGAAGCAAACAGAGCGCCTTATCAATTTTATCTGCGGCTGTAGATTTGCAACATAACGGACAACATTGTACGATAAAACGTCCTGCAGTTTTGAAGTTACAAAAAACTTTTTGTCGGTGGCTTAATGGTTATAGAAACGTACACTTTACATAAAGAGCTTCTTGATTGAAAACAATAGGGAGCTCAAGCAACAACGACGGCGACGGTTAAGAAAACGTCACTTAAAAAGGCAATTTGCACTAATTCAAACTTTATCACGCTTATTCCATCTCGTTCATTTTGTCTAATTTTTTGGTAAATTCTTCTAGATTTGAATTCTAAATCACTGTATCGAAGTTGAAAGAAAATGAAAAATAAGTCGTTGTCTTATGTTTGCTTCCTCCATAAAACGTGAGATTAGGTACAGTCGAACCCCGCTATTTCGAAGTCCCAAGGGAAATGGAAAAAAGTTCGAAATAGCGGGGCTTCGAAATAACCGGGGACGCGTAAAGGGGAAGGGTAAATCCAAGGGCATTCGATCGTCCTTCGAAATAGCGGGGACTTCGAATTAACCGAGTTCGAAATAACGAGGTTCGACTGTAGTTTCACGTCGTAGTCGCACAGTGACGGCAAAGAAATGCACAAGAAAGCGTGATGCACGTGCAAAGTTGTTGTTTTGCTAATCTAAACCCATTGCTTTCTTCCCGTTCTCGTTGCCATCGCCGTCGTCGTTGATTAAGGTCTTTAGACCGTGATAGTGGAGTTATAGGTGGCAAAAAATGAAGTAGCTTTACAACAAAAGGAACATGGATTTGATGTCGGTAGAATGAAGATATATGTTCTTGGCCGTAGATGAAGTTTTCACGGCAATATTGGATGTTTTCCGAGGTCGCTTATGGCTAGCAATGCTGAACCCCTTCCAAGGATGTTTTGCTCGATGACGCCGATCACAAATATTCATGAAGTGTTTCAGGTATTTTTACAGCCAATAAGAGCCGCGTATGGAAAGCCACCTGCACTGACTTTTACATACCTGTAGGACAATATACGAGAAAATATTGCAAGAAAATAGCAAAGAATATTCGCTTTGAAATGTCAACGCCGATGATTCTGAAGAGAATTCCACGGTCGCTTGTACGAGGAGAATTTCCAGGTAGGAAACAAAATCGACAAAAATCTTTAAATTTAAAATGAATTTCATTTAGTTGCAGCTCCCTTCTAGCATCAGGATTTCGAAAAGCGTAAATTAAGATATCAGAAAATACGAAAATGAAAGCTAGAGTTCTGTTATGAGGGTATCAAAAGGAACAATTATAACGAGGCCTCTTTGAAATACACTACTTTATGCATTGCAGTAAATCAACGGCTTCAAAGTGTTCGGCAAACAACCCATACGTTCGTAGAAAAAGGAAACGGAAAGATATTCACACACTCAGTATAAAAAATGTAAAATTATAGCCTCCTTCACTGTGATGCATCTTAGATTCTATGCATACTCATTCTAGAAACACTTAGTAATGCTCCTGTGACAGCAGTGTCCTGCAGCATGTGCAGTGTCCTATAGCAGTCAAATGGTCATCTTGGGTCTATACCAACAAGTACAGTTATTGGTTACATGAAAATTTTCTGTCTTGGCCAACAATTATTCGGGATATTCCTTTCTATTTTCTGACGACTGGGTTTTCTGCAGTCATTATTACTTTTTTGTACTTCTTCTCGCACAAAATTCATATTGCAACATGTCGCCCACCAAAGCCATAAACAGACGCTGTGGTCGGCCACCCAGATGCCGACCCTTGCGGCCGTGGAGAATTTTTAATTTAGTCCAAAAACACTACAAGGATATTATTATCATTTTACCAGAAAATCCTGGCTCCGTAGAAGAAATTCCATTTTTTCTTTCTTTTTTTCTGGTTAACCGGGAGCTATTTTGACTACTAGTATAGAGTAAACTACGGTCCGTTGCGTTGGTACCGTTGCAAATCTTCGTTATTTATAATGTTTTAGAACTCTTAAAAAAGAGGTTTAAGGGAAGAGCTCTAGGAACATGGTCTTGAGTTAATTTTACTTTACATTACCAAACAGCTTGACTGTATTACGTTGTGTAATATGCCTGACGTGTCCAACAACCGTTCTTTCTGAAACGCAATCTACTTGTATCTGGCTGTAAGTCGGATATAGAGAGAGTTTGAAAATAAAATACCGGTCAGTTTTATTCAGTTTACTCACACATCGGGATTTCATTAATTTAGAAACAATCGGCTTGAGTGATTAAAACATTAAAAGAAAGAAAAGACTAAAATAGTGAGGGAGATGTCTCTCTCCATTGAAGTTCTCCACTAATTTATACTTCAGTTTTCTTTATTTTAGCTAACCTAACATTGATATTGGAAATCAGAACTGACCGACTGTCAAAAAGTATGGAAATTTAACAGCATTTTTATTACAGGCCCTTATAACACTACCAATGAATGAAGGAAAAAAGAGCGGATGATGTTAGGTTTATCACGGAAATCGAGAAATTTAACATATTAATAATTGACATGTAAAAACACACATCTTAAGAGACAGGAAGACGAAAAAAGCTTCGACACAACTAAATAACACTATTAAAAGAAGAAGCCCCTCTCTAGCTCTTTTGCACGAAACTTTAGAACAGACAAAATGACTCAAAAGTGGTAAATGAACGAGAAATGTGTAAGACAGATTATGCCATTACCATGGATACGATATGGCTTCGCGACAACGATGTCCTAACGTCAATATCGTGAAATAATTTCCATAGCGTTGAAGATGTGAAAGTTCTTGAGTTATAAGCGTCAAAGAATACAGCCAAACAGATTATGCAATATATCGTCGAGCTAAATATGGCAAACAAAAGTTTAAACAGCTGACTTAATTAGGTTTTGTCATTCCCGGTTAATCGTTGCATAAACGAAATTTCCAAAACAAAAATGGCAGTTGTAGCACTGAAACCGCTTGATTTCTGCAGTTTGTCTCTTTATTTTACGGGAGTTTGATAAATGATCTTCTCGGTGAAAGTGTGATGTCGCCTGGACAGTGACGCCGAGAATATGAAAAGCGCATGGCATCAAAAATAAGAACGTTGAAAATGGCGTTCCCCCCTTCGCAAATTAACATATGACAAAGACTTATTTTATTTTAATAGATGTTATGAGGCCAAACGAATGAAACAGGTCTAGCATGGAAGGCTCAAGTGCAGAAAATGGAGAGAAACATACAGCTGAAAAAAGGGAAGGCCAAGAAAATAACAAGGATGAAAGCTTTCGGCAGGAAATTGAGGACATTGTGCGAGGTTTCATAATCGAGAAAGACATTTTAGCTCAGAGCCACGAAGAAGAAATCAACCGCATGAAACAACGCTTTGACCTAGAAAGAAAACAGCTTCTGAAACAATTGGAGATGGAAAAAGAACAAATGATTGAAACTTCTAGGATAGGTGAATCAGAGAAAGAAGTAAGCTTCGCGCTCTCGAATGCATTTGTTTCTGAAGCTGGGCGAATGCAATCGTTTTCTCACACCTCTGGAGAGGGAAATCAGTTTGTAAGTGGTTTTCATCGACAGTCAAACGGTGGTCTTGACATTGATGATGTAGATTCCAATTTAATACGTGAAATTGCCGAGGTCTACCTTAGAATAAACAATGGTACTCTGACAAGTCAAATGCGTCCCGAGTTAGACCTCGAAGATAAATACGAGAGAGAACGAGAGGCGTTAGAAAGATCATTTCACTTGGAGAAAAGGGAGATCAAACGAAAACTTGAAGAAGATTGCTATAGAAGGCTGGAACAAGAGCGCATAAAATACGAGGGGAACATAGCGGATTTAAAGACGACGATTTCCGAGCTTCAGTGGCAAAAAAGGGAAGCAGAAAACCTCATGAGGCATGAGAAAGAAAAATGGGAAATGAATACAGAAAGGGATAAAAATGAAACTGAAAAAAGACATTTGCAGGTTGTCCAAGAAACTAGACGAAAATTAGAGGAGAAGCACAGTAGTGAGCTTGAAAAGCAAAGAAAAAGATACGAGGAGAATATTTCGGATCTACAGACTGACATTTCTAAGTTAACAATGCAACTGAAAGAACTAAATGAGAATCTCAATCAGGAAAAAGAAATCATAGTGACCAAGTTCGAGAGAGAGGTCAAGGAAATGGAACAAGCGTTTCTGGAACAGAGGAATTCGTTGAAGGCCAATTTCGAAGCAGAATTCATGATGCGGATAGAGAACGAGACGTCACTACTCAAAAGTCTAAACATCAAGTTAAAAGAAGATTTGGAAAACATGGAGAAAGAAAAGAAAGAAGTAGAGAAGAGAGGAAAGGAAGACAAAAGGAAACTCGAGGAAAGATTTGAAGAGGAGATATCAGAAATGGAGCAACGGCACTCTGAAGAAAAACGCGCGTTAAAACTAAAACTTGAAGAGAGATACCAGCAAGGGCTTGTCAGGGAAAAGGAAGCACTAGAGGAAACAGTTCATGAGTTAAGCGAGGAAGTAGCACTTCTTAAACAAGAGAATGCGCAAATGGAAATTACATTTGCAGAAAGAAGGGATGAATTACAGAGACGACTAGACATCGAGAGAGAGGAGATGCAAAGGGAGGCAGCTAACAATAGCGAAGAGATTCGGATGCACGTTGAAAAGGAGCTTTCTCAAAAGTTCATGCTTGAACAAGAGACCCGAGACGATACGTTCCGACATCGGGAACGCGACGTACTGGTAATTCAGGCAAAGTATGATGACCTTGAGATGCAACTGAATGCACTGTGTCAAGAGCGAGAGATGCTGCTCAGAGACAAAGTGAACCTGGAAGAAAATCTAAAAACTAAGGAGAAGAGATTGACGGAATTGAACAGTGAAGGAATCTCGGGAGGAAATCAGGACAAGAGCTCAAAAATCAAGGAATTAATCAGAGAGAAAGACAACCAGTTAGCAGGCGTTAAGTTCGAGAACCAGCAACTAGAGTTGAGCCTTTCAGCGATGAGACGCGAAAAAGTTGATATGGAAGATGAGATAGTAAATCTAAAGCGACGATTGTCTAATTCCGTGCAACAGTTTGGCAGCTTCGGAGACAATGTCAGCAGTGATTTGAAGTCTTTACAAGAAAAGACGAGAAGAAAGGATGAACAGGAGCTAAGCTCCCTGCAGCGTGACAAGCACGAACTTGAAATTCGTCTCTCCTCCGTACAGCGTAAGAACGATGAATTAGAGGATGAACTTGCAAGTTTAAGACGCAAAAAGCTAGAAGTCGAGGATGAAATATCTGCTTTAAAACGAGATAAAGCTGAGTCCGATAATCAAGTGACTTCACTAATAAGGGACAAAGCTGAACTTGAAGAGCTGATAACGAATTTAAAGCGAAAACAAAGCAACCTAGAAGATACCATGTCCGCTATGAAGAGAGAAAAGGTGGAACTTGAGTACGAGGTTTCCGTTCTGAAACGCCACAACTCCACCATGGAGATCGAAGTTCACAGACTTTTCAACGATCAGCAGGAAAATTCACACCCTATTTATCACAAACATGAACATGAACATGTTTCGCGCGATAATACGTACGGAATCATCAATGCACGTGCTGGGGAGATAAAGTCTCAATCCAAAGATAATTCGGTTTTTGACGATCGAGAAGACAGCTCAGACAATGGAAGGAAAGTAAGTGAAATGAACAAGGTGGTCTCAGATTTAACAAGGCAACAGCATGAGTTAGAGAGCTCTATAAGACGACTAAGCGAAGAAAAGGCTGATCTAGAAAAGGATTTACACATGCAGCTAGAATACAGACGCAATGTGTTGCATCAAGAGACCGAAAGTCTCAAAGTGAGGGAGGAAAATGAAGCCAGTTGGGTTCCCCAGCGACAGAAAGATGCTTTGGAAAGACGAATAGTTTCACTGAAGGAGGAACAAGCCGAACTTGAGAGCAAAGTGTCCCAGCATCACAAAGAAGTGAAGAGTCTGGAAGAAAAACTCGATAATTTGAAAGATGAACGCGCTACGCTGGAGAGCGATGTCAGGACTTTGAAACATGAAAGACAAAGCTTTTCGAAAATGATTGAAAATGCTGAAAAAGGCCACACAGCTGAAACGAGAGAAGGCAAAAGGAAAATGCAATTGAGCAGCCACCGAGGTAAGGATGAAAAGACTGCAGTAGCCAGCAACGAGCAGCAATTTACCGTTTTGAGCCAAGAGAGAGATGCAATTCGAGCGGAGCTAACCACTTTAAAGAAGCAATTTGCGATGCTTAAAACAGAAGTCTCGACAAAGTCCATTCACAGGGATATTATTGACATTGACGAATATGATATTTCAGAGCTGAAAGGAATTCGCGTTGAGATTGAGAGAGAAATTGCTGTTCTCAGAAGGAGAAAAACGGAGTTGGAAGCGGCTATCGGTGAAGTGCAAGAGGATACGAGACGGGAAGAATACGAACTAAAAAATATGCGAAAAGAAAGAATGGAACTTGAGCTCCAGATTACAGCTTTGAAGAGCCAAAATACAAGGCTGGAGGCCGAGGGATCAGTGTTAAAAGATGAGCGAAAGAAAAACGAGTGCGAAGTAGATGGTTTAAGGAGGGAGAAAGCTAATCTGGAGAAAGAGATATTTAGTTTGCAGATCAGAGCCCTCCAATTTGAAAGCACAGGAACAGGATCTGAAGGGTATTCGACAAAATATAAGAAACAGCAAGATGAGAAAGACATCGAAAGACAAAGAAAGAAACAAGACGCGATCAGTTTGCAAAGCGAAACAGACAAACTTGTGACTGAAAAAAATAACTTAGAAAAGAAAATGCTAAGTTTGCAAAGCGAGCAGCGCAGTCTTGAGGATGAGTCACGTGATTTAAAAGAACAGCAAAGCAGAGATCACTACGAGGTAGACAGGCTAAGAAGAGAAAAACTTAATTTGGAAGAAGATGTTGTTAATTTGCAAAGCGACAAGCGTAGAGAAGAAACTGAGATCTCCTTGTTAAGAGAGAAGCGATACAAAGAGGAAAGCGATGTCCAAAGGCTAACCCGAGAAAAAACAGACTTGGAGAAAGATATATTGAGCTTACAGGTCGGAAAAGAAAGACTTGAAAGCGCCACTCCAGTGGGTGAACGTGTTTGGAAAGAGAACAGCGATGATTTAACTGGTTTACGGGCAGCACTACAGGACTTGACCGAAAATGTAGAGAGCTTCAAAAAGCAGAAGGAAGAACTACAGTCCGAGATAACAAGGATAGAGGCAATCAAAAAACACGACGAGGAAGAACTACGAGCTCTTCGGCAGGAAAAGACAGAGATGGAAATCGTCTTATCGAGATTGCGGGTGGAATGTAACATCGAAGGACGGGAAGAAGACAGTCAAGAAGACTCCCAATTTAACATACCACATTCCCAGGTAACTAATGCAGCCAAACTTTAAGAACCAGTTACCCTTGGGTAAATCTAAATTGATGAGTATCATTGTTGCTTTGTCCAAAATTGGAAAACCCATCGAGCTCGAAAATTGAAGCGTGTATTTGCACAAGGCGGCGACAAACGCACAGGGGACCCGAAGCAGTAAACCTTAACGATCATCGTTGTTAATCTTGCTCGTTTGGACACTCTTACTAAATATTATTTGGTTAATATGGTTTCATCGGTTTTTCCTTCTGTTAGTGCATATGTAACAGGTTTGACTTGACAAGAAGAATATAAATTACTGCACTACACAAAATGGAATATTGAATTCCCTCACCTAGGGGCCATAAGCAAATCCATTGCAGTGCTTTTCTGTAACAAAGTGGCTGTTTTAAACCAGGGAAGAAAAACTGGGACATGATCTGCTAAGATAAGCAATGCCGTAAATCAGAAAAAAAAAGCAAGGTTAAAAAAAGATGAAAGGCCACGACTTTTAAAACTTAAACTGACAAACCAATTTTCCTTTACGCCTCTTATTTTAGGCGCAGCTGGGAAAGATCAAGGAAGGGCTATTAGAGGAAATAACAAAGATTCAGACAGCCAAGAATCAAGAAGAAAACGAGCTACAAAAGCTGCGACAACAGAAGTTAGAAATGGAGGCTTATATTTACCAGTTACAGGGTGAAAGAGGGCGTTTTGAAATGGAAAGAGAGCGATCTGAGCTGGGACCGCGTGAAAAGATGAGGGATGGTAAATATTTGACAGATGATGATACGAAATCAGGTAGTGTTTTACTTCATGATGGAGTGAAAAGACAAGAGGGGGATACCTTACATAATTCCCCCCTAGTCTCAGCCAATACATACAACCTCAGTTCCTACAGTCCAGAAGCCGCTTTGATCAATAATTCTTACTCCTACAACCCTCACCTTGCCTTCATTCAAACGGACGAGATAAACGGATTTGGAGGTTCTATGTCAAGCAAAGATTCCGTCAAAGAAGATAACGATGTGATCTCCATGAAAAGAGAGAGAAGCGAGCTAGAAAGCCAAGTCAATGATCTACGAATACAATTGACACAATTACAGACAGAAGTTACAAGTTTAGAAAACAGAAAAACTATGCTAGAAACAATACATGGCAGCTATGTCTCTGAAAGTACGAAGACGGGACAGATGAATGGGCGAGGAGTAGGTGTTGACTCTGATGTGGATTTGGAAATTACAAAGACCATCACAGAGGTAACGAAAATAAAAAAAGTAGCTACCTCTGAAAACAGTTCGTTTGTTACACCATGAATGCAGAAATATCACTCAAAAGCATTGAGTTCTCTAAACACCTGGGAAAGACAAAGTCATAAAAGTAAGAAAGGAAAAAACTGCTCATGGAATAGCTTTTCACATCTCTCAAGTGTTTTGAGATTTAAACGGGCTTGCTTAAGTCAAAAATGTACTGATGATAAGTAAAAGATACATTTTTTTCTGAAACATTTGACTTAATTCTTTGTGCACACTTATTGATGACCTTAGTCATGTGTATTTTAATGTTAACTGGATTTAGGAGATGGGGAATGTGCACTGCAGCAATGCAATGTATAACCACCACACATGCCCAAACAATAACAGCATTAAGGCTCATCTCTTATGTTTAAGCCATCACAAAAGCATCAAGAGTTACTATGGTAACTGTGATTTTATTTCATTGAACTACAGGACAGGAGAGATTTGCTAATCCAGGAATATGAAGAGCAGATTCGAGAGCTCAGGCAGAAAAAGGTGGAATTGGAACAGAAAGTGAGTGTCTTGGAATGGCAGCTTGAAAATATGAAACAGAAGTTAGAACTTCAGGAAATCAGTCACAGACGAGAGATTAGCAGTTTAAATGAGAAGGTAAGTTACTGAACATTTTTAAATGAATTGGCCTATTAGTGAAAGCACTAACTGGAAAATAATGATGATAATAAATAATAACAGAAATAATAATGATGACGATGATGATGATGATGACAATGACAATGACAATGAGGATGAAGATGAGGATGATAATAATTAACAATTATTCTTTGAAATCGAGGAGAATAGTGGCTGAATATTTACCAAGCTGTGAGGCGGTGAGGTAAATATTCCTAAAGCCACTATTCACCGAGATTGGAAAGAATAATAAGTATTGTTTTAGTATATACACACAAAGCGATCTCAACAAAATCAGAGAGGAAACCGTTAAAAAGTATGATTTGATTGACAGATCAAATCACTCAAAAGTTTAAAAATAGATTTTTGTAGAATTTTCAAACATGGCAATTCACAAGCTTATCACTTCGCAAACAACAGTATAATGGCTTAAATGGAACCGTTAAAAGCTTGAATTGTTTCCTTACCTGAGAAGAAAAGTAGAACTTTGTTGTTTTCTGTTGACTCGCCAAGTTTATAGCCAAAAAGGTTTCTTGTGTCGTTCTTCGCATGACATTCTGACAAAAATGGTGGCTCGGTTCCTCGCGGTAAGACGTCGTCTTCATATAGCATTCTTTCTCCTATTTACTTGAAACATAGAATTTCTGCAAACGTTTGCTTTCAAATTTTTTTGTCACAAATAAACTTCAATTTTTGGGCCAAATTTTTGTTGTTAGGACACGCTGACTTCACGAAATGGCCTCTTCTACACGAATAAACGGGAGTTGTAAACAATCCATTAACCACAAAATTCAACTACAGTAAATGGAAAAACATTGTTTTAAATCCCTCAAAGTCTTTTCTTGCCTAAAAAAAAAAGTCAACCCTAGGATTTTGTCGACTTTTAAAAGATCATTCTCTAAAAAAATGGGTAAAAAACCTTGCTCACACATTATTCACTTGCTAGGAGGTGAATATTGTTGAATAGTCGAACCAATCAGATTGCTTTATTACCAAGATCACTCAGTGTGTATATACGAATGATAAAGATAATGACAATGACAATTATGATAATGCTTTGCTAATGCTAATTATGCTAATGCTAATGATAATGATGAGGATAATGATAGTACAATAACAGTACTAGGTATCTTTAGTCTTAACTCGTTTTGCTGGGTAGCAATCTCACCTCTAAAAATGCATGTCTCACTCCAGAACCAGTCTCTGAATGGTTACCATGGCACAGAGAGAAAAGATGACACCCTCCGTGAATTTTACCAGAAGCTTTCGTATTTCCTGATGTCAGGTGAACACAGCAACAAGGAAATCATGGAGGAGATTGAAAGGCAGATTTCAAATCTACAACAGAAGGTGAATGTCATTTATTTCTGCCATAACCATAGATTCTGACACACAGTGGCGACCTGTCCAAGCATAAACATAATTCTTTGAGCAGAGCTGAATAACTTGTTTTAACTTGTCAGTCCTCTGGTTGATTACCTGTTTGTCAACCAAAGTTGCAGAAGGACCTGTATCAGAATTTGGGTCTGATTTTATGCTGCAAAAAAATCAACATCAGTCTGCCTGATTGCTATGTGCACCACATCCTGGTGGTTTCTGATCCCACTGTAAGCAATTGTTGAAACCAATCCCTGAGTTCAAAAGGCTGCTACCCTTATTTCATATCATGACCAGTCGATTTGCACTCTTTCCAGTTTTTTATTACACCACATTAAGAGATCACAACTAGTGGCAGCCTCTCAAACTTAGCAACTACAATCGCACAAAATGGGACTTTTGAAATAGCCAAGTTCTGGCTCTGTCAGACAACGCCGGGAAGAGCAGCGTGCAAAGAAAGTAGTGTCCGACAGCCCGGGGCTAGTGGATTTTGCTATCGGGCTAGTGAATTCTGTTTTTAACTTGCCCGACGGGCAAGTGATGTTTTTTGAAGAATTCGAATAACAGAAGAACTGTGAAGTTAATTCTGCTCGTCAAAAAGCTTTTGGGGCTAGTTGAAATGACGTCTGGGCTAGTAAATGCTAGCTTCAGCTTGCCCGAATGGCAAGCTGTAAAAATGATTTTCTTTGCACCCTGAAGAGGGGAGTAAGAACTGGAAAAAAAAAAGGCGTAAAAACTGACAAATGGGAATCCGGTCGTTTCTCTCGATCTGTAATTATCATTCTTTAAACTTTACTGAAAAAAAGTAGCCGAAACCATGCAATTCCCTGCCTGTCGTTTAATATAACGTTGTTGTCCGCATTTGGCTAATCAAGATAACGGCAACAAAAATTCTTCTTACCCTTTTTTGCTACCTTGGTGTAGCAGCCTGATTCCTGTGAGTTTGCCTGTCGTTTAAGTAAGAATGGAAGCAATTTTCGCGCAACCTGCAGAAAAAACGGCCTGAGCTTCTTAAATTCAACAGGGAGCGTGTCGCTTGGGCTTGATCTTGGGTTCCGATCCATGGGAAAAGCGACCATTTGATCTGTTTTTTCTCAGCAACTGCAGCCCTTAAGCAATTCTTGTCAAAGTAGGTGTCTAAAATCTGCCAAAAAGGAAGTATTTTCTTCGTACACGACCACATCCATAACATTCCGCCATATTTTTATTTCCAATATCCCGCCGTGAAAATGGCTGCGAAAAAACTGGTAACCAATAAGACAGGCAGCATGGCGAAGCGTGACAACTCTGTAACGCAATTCGATGTCTTTAAATAAAGAAAGAAAATAAAATAAGCTAAAATAAATAAATAAATAAGTCAATAAATAAAAAGAATGAAATAAATAAATCACGCAACATTTCTTAATTTGCTTATGAGCAATGCATTTTGTGTGTTGCAGGCAGATTTTGATTACGAGAACACAAAGGAGTCTCTGAGTTCGCCGTCCGTTAAGTTGGAAAAAGACAAGATTACCTCAGAAAGTGAGGCAAGGCTGGCTAGAGAGTATGCAAGCCATTTGAAAGCACAGGTGAGAGACGCGATAATAGTGCGTTGTTGGTGCGATTAAATACATTTTGAGCTACGGCCGTGAAAACGGGCAACAAAACGTGAAGCTTGTTTGGCAACACTTCGGCGAAACTAGTTGAAAAGGAATTTAATGTTCCGCGTTTTTCTACCCACGTTCCAACCTGTTTCGTAACAAATCAGGTTGTTGCAAGTTGCTGAATACTGACTTCCGATTGGATAAAATTACGCGGGAGTCACGCTATACACCGTAGTTACGTCACTTGTCTCAAAACAAGTCTGTCTTGGGCAGGTAAAACGCGCAACATACATATACAGATTTTGTTGCAAAAAGTAGTTTTACTAGATCGTTACTTTCTGCAAAATTTTTTCACAATCTGCAACAAGCTGGTTTGCTGTAAGACAGGTTTGATATGTGGGTGGCGTGTAACATCGCTATTCAACTCGTTTTGCAGCAATTTAATGTTGCAAAACTACCGAAGTTGCACGTTTTTGCTGCACGTTTTACCAGTTTGTGCGTGGCCTTCTGCGCGATGCCTTCTCTGCGTTAGGTCTCGGGTTCTATTCCCAGATGTGACCTCAAATCCTTTCTTTTTTCGACTTCTTTCACTTAATTTCCTTGTAGCTTTAAGTAACTTCAACAGACCATAATGTCATCTTGGCAAACAAAAGAAGACAAAAGAATTATATGTGCATAATAGTCGGGCGATATTGAAACTCGCGCTTAACCTTTGTACTGACCTGTAGTCATCTCCAAGTTGAAATGATTTTGTTTGTTACAGATGGAAACTGCAGATAACCAACTCAAAACGTGCGAGAAAATAATTCATCGGCTTTATGGTGAAAACAACGATCTCACGAAGGAAAACCTCAATCTTGAAGGAAAGTTGAAGACTGCCTCTCGCTCCCAAGACAAGCTCCAACGTAAAAAGATCCTTTTGCAAAAACTAGTGGATAAACTTAGTCACCATATTGGAAAAGACGTACAGCACCAGTCTTTTTTATTACTTGAGCTAGATAAAGATGTTTCTTTATGAAATGGACGGAAGGAGGAATCGCTCTTTGACTTAATTTTTGTTTTAACCCGACTCTTTTCTGATGAGTTTCTGAGTCATTCAGTCAGGATATTGGCCAGCTTTTAAGACTTCAACTTTCTAGTTCACTATAAAAAGTTATATATAGTCATAACGATTAAGCAATCCACAAACGTTGGGGAGTATATATGCGGGAGGATCGATGCAAACGCCCTTGCCCCAATGCTGTGCTTTGCGCGGAGAAGGTTTGAAAACGCGCGAGATCAGCTTACAACGCGCGTGTCTAACAGCAATCTGGAGATTAGGATTGCGGGCACTTCTAGTTGCCCGCAATAAAATCTGACCTTCTTTTCACGGTCTTTCCGTAAAACGGAAGAAACTGGTACTGAATGATCAGCCCCCCACCCCCTAGTCTGTTGCGAGCCGAGCGCCAATTCCGAATAGTCGAAGACTGAAATATGATGGGTTTTTTAAAATAAGCATTTTATTCATAAAACTTCTTTATAGGAGTAAGGAAAGGCACAACTGTTCCTCTAAAGAAAAACTGTTTCTACTTTTAAAATAACTATGCTATTGTTTTTGTCATTGAAGTTTGATTTTTTAGTTATAATTATTGTCAGAATATTCGTACTTCTAAGTACTGAAAAAAAGAATGCTTGCTGCATTATATTCACAAGGTTTCTTTAATTTCGACGGTTCACGTTGGTGCGTAGTACATCATTTATTTAAGATTCTTTTTAGGATGACTGAACTGGGATTATGATTTATTTTCAATCAGTGATTTGATTAAAAATTGCCGGAAAATCGCTTCACCGTATCGGGGATTTGGGAGCCAAACTTTTAGAATTTTGAACATTTACATGTTCCTTATCAGTGGAACTTTATAAATACAATAATGAATTACGTCAGGTGTGATAAATTTTTTATGTAATAAATATTCGGGTACATAGATTAGGAGTCATGTAGTCGTACTAAGCTGTTGTGCTCTTGTCTTGCTGGAAATAAATGAAACAATTGGTTTAAAGTGAAGTTGTTTTACTTCTACAATAAAGCAAAAATCACGGCAAAAAAGCCCAGCGATACACATTCCAGGAGAGGAACAATAAAATAGAAAAAAAAATCCTTTCAGTGGAGTTATTATTTCTTATTCTCATCAAGTGCCTGCCAAGCCAGCTCGTTGTCAGTGTTGCAAGTCACTTTCATGAGTGACTCAACTTTGGGACTCTGAAACCCAGACCCAAAGCAGACAACGTACTTTGTCTGGAGGCGTTTCAAAGACAACCTGGGGAAGGTACTATATGAATTTTTGGGTGGGAGTGTCCCGTAAGGACCCTAAAAACCCTGAGCTTGTTCAGCTGCACCAAGAATCCCACCTCATTCAACAAAAACAGGGTGATGGGCCCCCGACAAAATCATTCATTCTTCCTTCATCAGTACTGCACCATATTCGGAAGTATTCCAGACCAAAAGCCTGTGACTCCTGTACATTCCTCAAAATTTAAAAGCCCCTTTCACAGCAGCTCACAGGAGCCAAAAAAGCCGATTCGCCCCAGCCTCCGCAGAAACGGTAGCAAGATTCTAGGAGAAAAAAAAAAAAAGAAGTACGCAAACTAAGCATCCCACATTTATTACCCTGCGAGCAGTGGTTTATATACCATCCTTACCAGGAAAAATGAATTTGGCAGGACTTGGCATCGTCCAAATTTTTCAAAATTTTTATGCTCGAGAAATCATCTGTATGGAATTTCTGCGCTCTTTCTCAGACGTCATTTGGCGGGGAAACCAGTGGTAGCGTCGCCAAAAGTCGGCGGTTTTCTCAGACTAAAAATTTTTTTTCTGCATCGCTTAGCTTTCCCTTGTAAGCCAGAAGCCTGGATACGAGGTTACAGTCGGTACAATATATGTCCCCATACATCAAGTACGTACCAAAACGCTTCGGCGGAATTCCGCTGAATAGAGGATCATTGCAGGCGCAAAAGAGGACAGCACTCACAGCTGATGCTAAGTTCTAGTTCTTTAACCAGCATTTTCTCAAATATTTCGAACGCTGTACTGTTATGCATGACTGAATTTGATGCAAAGAGACTAGCCAGCCACCTGAAGGAATAACAATGACGGAAGACTACGAAGTCCCTCTCAAAAAAATTGTTGGAGAGGCAGATGAACATGGTAGGAGTACGAACCTTTAAAGTTAAGTTTCTTACTAGAAGGGGCCATTCTGGTATTACATGAATCTCGCCTGAGAAAAAGCCGATCGATTATTGGAGGGAGGGAAGGTCTTGGCTGTTTTACGCTAGCTGCACCCAGCACCCCCCCCCTTTCTACATGAAATCAAACCCTAACCACTTCCTTGTTTTGGAGTTTACAACACATATCACATGCCCAACAGGTTTCAGCCTTAATCAAACCTCACTGCTCTTGATTTTTAGAATTTATTCACACATTTACACTCTATTGCTTTTATTGTTATCACACCTATTTCATGACAGCACAGAATATTTTTGGGGAAAAAAACCCTTTAGAGTGAAGCTCTTATTTAATTTGTAGCTTGTGTACAGATTCTGCATAAATCTCTCCCACAAGTTACATTTAAATTATTGCATTTAATGTTCTGATCATGTGCATGCAATACTTTAAAATAAGTTTTAGACTTCACAATAAATAAACTTCTTTTAAGTAATGATGCCTAATTTACTTCTGCCTTTAATACAAGAGCAATCCTAAAATAGTGAGAACCATTAAAATCTATGTGAATCAGCAAGCGCAGAATCATTGAATCTGTGGATTCACAGTTCAATTAACTTGCGTGAAGCGCAAAATTTTAACATTATCTTCATTCACTTTCTTGCATATATTATTGATAAATGTATCTTCCATAATTCATTCCAAAGTAAATTGCTACACTGTACATGTAGAAGTATAAAATAAATCAGACAGATTTTAAGTTACGTATTAGTTTTGGATTACTGCAAGTTCAGATTTACAATCATACTATGGAAATCTCCAAGATGCCAGATTTGGTAATAATGCTCATTGGCAAGAAAATATGATAGAAAAAATCAGTTTAAAGTTGAGTCATGTCAGAAAAGTTTTAAATGCACTATTTATTAATTAACATCCAACACCATTTATAACCCAACGGTGATTGCCAAGGCGTCTGCGAGTGCGAACAACACTTGCATCAATAAGTGCACCATGGTGCTTATCTCTGGCATCCTCGTCAACTCTCTTTCTGGTAAGGGTCAGCAGACCAATATTACGGGCTGTGGCGTTCAGAGATTCTTGTAACCCCTCTCCTCCCTTGACAATCTCACGAGCTTCAGGCAGCTGATTACCTGGGTGGCGCTGGTAAACCTGTACAGCTGGACGGTCCAGACGCTCACGTGTAGTCAGATCAGAATAAGCCACTGGACCCTGCAGTAACATAGCATATTAAAAAAAATAAATAAAAACCATGCCGTAAAAGGTACTTGAAATAAGTTCTATAAAGTGGAATATTGCTCATGGATTGTAATGAGGGGTGGAATGGTGCCAAAATATAGCATCCTTGCCGGCATTCCATTCCCAACTACAGTTAAGTTACTGAACTTAATCCTCCTTGCCCTTCACCATCAAACACCAACGCAGGCTAGCATGAACAGAAGCCCACAATCAAATGTATAGGGGAACATTGAACAATGCAGTACTGTAATGTACTTTTCCTCCCCTCCCCCTTCCCAGACCCCTTCTCCTTTAAATTTCCAGTTCCTCCTACGTGGGGGAGGGGTTGGGGAGAGGTAGGCATAGATAATCAGTTTCCCAACCACACACTGTTGGTAATGAGACAATCTCACATGTGAGAATCCACATCTTTGATATTATTTATTGTTTCCCTGCTCACCTTGACAAGATCTCAAGAGCCCCTAATGGTTTATAATACTGAAAGGGAAATTTATTTCATATCTTTGTCAAATCCAACATACCAGTGTATATCCAAGGGCCATCTCAGTTGCATCATACCAGCGTTTACTACGGTGTATGGCCATGCGAGTTTCTCCAGCTCCAACCAAAAGGTGTTGCTAAAAGGAAACAAAATTAATCTCAAAATTGATTCTACAGACAAGACAAATAAAAATGCAATTTGCCATGATAACCTTATGTAAATGTATCTACCTGACTGTGTACACAGAAAGTCATATCTGATAGCCTGGGGCTAGTGGAATTTGCTGTTGGGCTAGTGAATTCTTTTCTTACCTTGCCCAGCTGGCAAGTGAATTGTTGTTTGGGGTAGGGGAATTCAAATTACAGTTACTGTAAGACGAATTTAAAAAGGTTAGAGCTGTTTTTCAAGCTGATCTTAAACAAAGGGAAATAATTACAGTTAGGGATGAACGGAACTATCAGAAAAGTTTAATAGCTGGGGGTTGGGAATTTTAGAGCTGCATGAATTTTTTTGATTAACATTTCCCTTGCTTGAATGTTATTTTTAGACCATGCAGGGATAAATGTATCTTTTTAGGCCAGTGCATTATTTTTTTTTCCAAAAGATTTTCCCTTGGAAAAGTATTTTTTCTTTTTTTTTTCGTAAGATTCTCTCTTGGATGAATATTTTTTTGTACTTTGTTCCCCCATAACTTTTCTAATATTCTATCCCTTATTATTTAAGAATGAATTAATAATGCTGGTAATGAAAAAGCTACATGTAATATAAATCAACATCTAATTAATCCTGCTGATCGTGTGGGCTAGTTAAAGACTTTTGTGTTAGTACATGCTAACTGCAGCTTGCCCTTAAAACTATCCTTTCATTGCACCCTATTGTACCTCACCTTCATGGTGACTGTTTCAGCAACCTTTTGTGTGAGACCATCATTCACAGATTGGTGTGCAGCCTTCTGAAGCTTAACTGTCTGCTCGATTGCTTCAGCAACTTCCTTACGCAGGTTACAAGACCTTTCTCTCGCTTCTGCTGCTGTTGAAATCACCCTTGCACACTCTGGTGTATAAGGACCCAGGGGCTCCACTGGGGGAGTGGCAGGTTTCTCAGCCTGCCCCTCCTTGATACCCGCACCTCGCACTGAGGACACAGCATGGCATATGAGGTCCAACACCCTAGACCTTTCTTGTAAGCAGGCTGTGAGCCTTCGTCTGGCACCATCAAGCACCTGAAGCTGCTTCTGCACTGAGCGTAGCTGTGCTTCCAAAATCCGCTTTAACTTTAGCAAATGTTGCCGTTCTGCAGTCAAAAGGTCATCTGCACCATCAGACTCCTTTGGTCAAAATTAAGCAAATTTAATATGATTAGTATGAACGGAGCTAACATGGCCAAGTGGTTAGAGCACTGCAATAATTGCAGTGCTCTATCCAATCCCTGACCTAGTGCTAGCTGGATTTTTGTTCCTAGTATGTAAGTCCTGAACTCAACTCCTCAGTCAAGCTTGTAAGTAAATTGTAGCCAATTGGTTCCTCCTGCCAGTTGGGATTCTTGACCATGTGGGTCACAAATGAAAAATACCTGGTTCCTCCTGCCTAAAGTTGGGATTTCTAGAGAGGAAATGCTTGTGGCAACTTTTCAATCCCTTAAAAATTTGTTAGCATAAAAATACCTTTTGTTTTGAGATGGTTTAATCTATATTTGAATTATATTGTATATTGTAGATATTTTATATTTTATATTTTTTATATTTTATTTTGTAATTAGGTAGCGCTTTGGACAATTATTGGATTTTAGCACTATATAAATAAAATTATTATTATTATTTATTATTATTATTATTATTATTATTATTATTGTGTTACCCCTATAAGGTCATTTTTTTCCTTTTCTGTTTTCACTAGGCATTAAAAGGTAATAAAGTATGGAAATTGGAATCCACTGACAGTGTGTTTGTGGTAGCTTCTAAGTCCAAGATTTGAATGTGTTTTTGGTAAATTAATATTATGGAGTGTTTTTTTCACTAGGAAAATTAGGCATGAAAGCCACACACATAAAGTTACCCTTCAATGACCTGGCTTCTACATTAGGTGACCATAGTAACTGTTGTAGGTAATCAATGGCCATCTGATGATTCAAGGTGGTTTATTGTTTTATCCTCACAAATAGGTTCAGCGACTTAGAATGAAAATGCCGGGGTGGAAAAAAGGAAAGCTTAATTAAGTGGGGTGTGAAGTGAGATGACGAGTTGTCCGATTTTAATTTCTCAGGTCCTGTGCTTTGTCCAGAATGGCTGCTTAGACTGTATAATGGCTGCCATCTTTGTTGAAGTTACTTAAATTCAGATTTATGCAAATAAAATTATGTAGGAACTTAGGCATTACATGTAAGTTAATTTATGAGGTCTAAAATATGTTACGATGATATTTAAAAAATTAAATGCTTTGTTCTTAATGCTATTGATCTTTTTCTGGGGTGGGGGGTGGGGGAGGTGCAAAACTGACATCTCTTTTTAAAAATAAGTTGACGGGTCTTGTTAAGTCATTCTAAGAAACATTGGAGGAAAAACACTGTATTTACATTTTGAAGGTGGGGATGGGACTGGGGGGAGGGGGGAGGTTAAGTGGCATTCATCCACTACCTCTTGTATGTTTGATTTTTCAACAAAGTAGTATGATTTGTATTGGCCGCCATGTTGGAGGGCATACTCTTGCCCTTCAACATGGCGGCCAAAACTACTTTTTGCTTATATCTTGTTAAACGTTTGATAGTTACGCTCAGATGTGCTGTAAACGTTACCACATCATCTTTTCAACATTTTCCTTGACGTTTAAGTGCAAAATTTGTGTTCAGAAAGAGATAATTCATAATTTTAAAAATCACATTTTGATCACGTGACTAAATACGAACTTACTTATTTTAAGAAAATGGTGCGGGTTTGAAACGACAAATCACTATTACTTTGTTTAAGATATGACCCACTAATCGTTTTTCAAAGGCAAAATCATATAACTTTCAGTTTCATAAAAACAATGTCACATGACCTCTTCGTGCAAATGGCCTATAGTTATATTAGCTAGTTAACAAGACGCAAAGGAAAAGTCCTTCCAAAACTCTTTCTTGTCCACCTTTCCCTGGTCTCGCCTAGTGGCAAAAAGAGGCTTCTGTGGAGTACAGCAAAGTTGGTTACAGCAAAAGGTCTTCAGTACCTCTGAAAATTTTTGCATTCACTAACTATAAATATAATTTTTGTGTCAAATTTCTACCCATCCACTGACATCCCGAGAAAAATGTGCTTCCCGTAACCTGATGGGGAGTGAAAGCTTAAGGGGGGGGGGGAATTCCCTTAGTTTAGTTTTGGAAACAATAAAGGGTGGGGGAGGAGTTCCAAAAAAAAAAATTAAAAAGTAAGGACCTTTCTCTGCAATAGAAGAGATACATGTAACTCTAATTTAAAAAAAAAATCATAATGATAATAATGCTTCTCTTCCTAAGACAAAGCAGTACAACCTCGTCATAATAATTGAAACTATTTTAATTTCAATACAGCATACCCCAAGCTGAGCAATAAGCATAAACAATTACTAGAAAATTTAATAAACAATCGTGAGCTTTTGTCTTGTTGTTTTGCATGGTTACGCGATCCGGCTAGTCTAATATCGCGCACTTTTTCACCAGGTTTGATTTTGGTTCACGGTAAGTGCTACTTCTTTTTAATTTTAAAACCATTTTTCCAGTACTCTACACACGACCCTAAAAATAAGTTTGGAAATTATTAGAGTAGCCAACAGTTAATTTGTTTCTCTATACATTTGCTTGAAGTCAATATACAATTATGTTTCCGAATTTATTATCATCAAAGCGCAAAATGAGGATTGAGAATGTCATCAATATAATGATAGCACCTGCCTTTCACGTTTGCATATTCGTTAAAACTATAACCTTAAAACCCACAAATCAGAATGGATATTGCTTCACGGAGAAAAATCCGGAAACGAACGGACAGTTATGAAGCCTTTAGCATAATATTTCTGTTCAGCTCGAATTAATTGATTCTAAAAGCACTCGACATTCCTCTGTGTCTAAAAGCGAAATTCCTCTGGTTAAAACTAATATTTCGAAAAACATACTTAGGGAATAATATGCTAAACTATTCAGAAGTAGATCGAGTTACCTTTTCTCGAAGGGGCCTTGTCTGCCGTTGCATTGTAGACTTTGTATTGAGGATGATATCTTTTCTTATATGCTCCAAAGTCCTTTCTAGATCCTGTTTTCCTCTCAAAAGGGATTTAATCTCTTCATTTGTGTCCAAAAAACTTTCTCGAAGTTTTACCAAAACGGCCCTTGTGGCTCGAACATAGGCATGAATCCTTGCATTACTCTGTTGAATGCTTGTATCTCTTAACGATGGCAGCGGGTCGAGTTGTTGTCCAAGATCGCAAGCTTTGTCACTACGGTTCACAACTGTGTGGGAAAGCCTGATGTTTCTTATACTTGCATTCTTCCAGGCGTCGGAGCCTATGGTAGCTCGAATACCGGTTACTTCCATTTCTTGAACAAGACCTTCGTCCGAGTCAAGAAGGCGGCTCAACTTTCTGTTGTGCAAAGCGTGGAGGGAAACTGTGCTGGTTACCATAGCAACTAATTAGCCTCGTTTTTGCATTAGAGATTTATTGCCAAGGTACATACATGTTCGTGACAGGTGGCAAAGTCACAAAACAAGCGGGAAATACTATAAAAAAAGTTATCAGAAAAGAAGCAAAAGCAATGGAAAAGGAGAGCATATAATAGAGCCACTATCCAGTATACAAATGACAAAGAGAAAAATTATGAGATCACTTGTGTGACCCGACTTCAAGACTGTCGTGACAGAACACCGTGTGACTTGAGAACTGTATTACTGTTACCTGAGAACTGATCATGTGGCCGCTTTTTTTTCCCCTCAGGTACATACCTACTTTACACACTTTCCTTCGATTCCCCACAACTTCAGCTTTTCATTTTTGTTTTCTTTTTTCTTTTTAAGTTGATAAACATAGGGAAATATAAACGCATTTCTGGTAAGGAAAAAGACTTAGACTTGACGTTTCGTAGGTTCCAACATACATCTTCAGCAGTACTGAAATAACAACAGAAATTTAAATGTAGAATAAGTAATTAATTAAACAAACAAAAGATGACATATGGTAGGAAAATTTGCATATAAAAGACATTTTCATTTAGTGAAGGTTCTAAATCCCTAATCAGCATAGTCTACTTTATCTTACAATGTGTCCGACCGTCCTCTTTCCAAAATTTCGAAATGGTCCCATTTCAAGTTAAAAGTCGTCTTTGTTCTTGCTCGATTACACTTACAGCCTTTCCAGGTTTCAGGAGTTTTTAAAGTTGAATCCGAACCATTTCCTAAAAAAGCGGCCAACCTGCGAATGTATAGAATAAGGCAACTCAAGGGTAATGGAGATGTGCAGCTGGATGGGGTCGCATTTTCACGACTGGATTGACTTAGAGTTACTAGAATGGGGTTGCACATTTTCGAATTTTTTGGGGTAAGACAGTTCCTCACTGATTTAGAGTTAGCAAACGTACCAGAATGTTTGTACTGAAGGTGAAAATTAAAGTGTTCTTCATTCAGTTTAAAAAATGGGTCAATTCATTAAAATAAAAAGCGACTTATTTGGGATCGCAAAAATCACATATTTGCCCAAAAAAGTGACTAAGATGGGGTCTATAATTGGTCACAGAATAGACTAAAATGGGGTAGGGGCTCTAAGAGGCCAGCCCGCACATACCCGGCAAAAATTTACCCAAGTACCCCCCCCCCGAAACCCGGGATTCAAAGGATTTTGAAGTATAATGAAAGTGACATTCGGGATTGAGCGGGGGATAAGGTTAACGGGATTCGTGATGCCAAACAAGCCATCGATATTGCGGGATTGAGCGAAAATTTGGATCAGAACCGGACGGGATATATTGAAGAACCCTGTTGGAGACCCTCGAGGGTAACACGCGCGTTATTCCAATTTTTGCGCGCGACACATGATACCTGGCACGTGATTTGTCAAAGTTTTTCCTGTTCTTTGTTCTTTGTCAGACCTTTTGTGTCAACTCCAGCGATTAACTTATTAACATATAAATTAAAAGAGTAACACAATCATTCGGCGAGAGCAAGGATTATTGAGCTTTTCATTAACAAAATCTCTGCAGAAGCGTCTTTCAAGATTATTATGTTTAAGGCTTAATTTCGAACATGACAGATGTACAGCTCTACCGTGATAGTTCAGGAAGCTTGCCGTAGTGAGTTGCAATGAACGGTTCAATTAGGTGTTCAATCGAAAGTTTTACTGACTACCCTCTGGTTTTGTTTACAGTTTGTCTCACTGGGCTGCGAAGGAACCCGCCAAGCACCGATTTATGGCGGGGAACACGGATCACTGGGCAAAGATGAAGCACAAGGTATGTTACAAACGATTTTAAGGCTCAAATGTTGTCCTTTAGGATAGCTGTAATAAACATTGCCTAGAAGTAGCGGTTGTTAGGCAGCCTATTCTCTGGTCTCCATGATCGACTTCTTTCACCAAAGCCTCGCATCCGTGTTGACATTTTGTCACGTTATGTTTATCAAGTTTTATAAAAGAAAAAACTGCTATACTAGAAAACTTGCTTAAACTTTTACTTTTAGGGAACAACAATAGCTGTAATGTTATATTTTTTTATGGACACAAGCAAACATGACTATATGGAAAGGAACGTCACGCAACGAACTGTTGTGTCCCATATGCACACGAGCAAAGAAAAAAAGGCCATTTTATGTAAATGTTTTTTGCCGGTCATGTCTTTAGCTTTGAAATTATTTACCCAAAACCTTACACAAATTGGTCGAATTCAATAAACTCTGTTTACAGTAAATATGAAATGAACCTTTAGAGTGCCAAGAGAGACCAACACCAAGTTTCTCCTAACAATACCATTGCATAGTAAAGAGAAAGGGAAACGAGAATTTAAAATAACTTGAGCACTAAACGGCACATGCTTTGATCTTTTATCAATTCTCTCAAATAATTCTTCAAGGAAAAGTATAGAGGTCGGTATGGAGAATTTGTGTGTGCAGATGTTGGGGCCCAAAGAGTTAATGATAGTACATCTACAATGAGGTTCTTCGTGTTCTACGCGCGGGGCGGATGTCACTGTCCACCATAAAGAGCTGCCGTTCTACAAACGATTTTAATTGTCTGTTCCTGAAACCATTTAGCTGATATTGGTGTGTTATCCTTTGCCGGGATGTTTTCAGTGCAAGGCTGTCAGCCGTAAGGGGGATATCCACCTGACCCGAAGCCTCTATTTCGTGTGGATTTTTCTGTGACTGAAATAACAGCCCGTGCGGTAATTTGAAAACATGTAACGTTGACGCTTTACCTTGTCCCCAGGGTCTTCTCGTTTTTCAATATATTTTCGTCTTCTCTCCGGTTGTGACAGTATAACATCGACCCAGGAGAGATTTTGTGTGCAACGATTTTAGTGAAAACCAGGGTTTGTAGGGGTTGCTCAGTCTCGCGGGCTCACAAAACCTCCCTTAGGTCGATCTTATTTAGTATTTGCCCTTCTCTCCTGCCGCCGCCATATTGGAAAACGAGAAGACTCTGGGGACGAGGTTGCGATGACGCGAAACCAAGAGAGGATAATAGATTATTCTCTCTTGGCGAAACTGATTCTCATGAAAGTCGTTTTCCACTATCCACCTACCTTTTAGCCTTTTCCAGGCTCTCAGATAGTAGGAATGATGCGTAAGTGTAAGGGACGCAAAAATGTTGGCGCCTGATCTGGGAAAAGGGGGCAGTGGGGCCCTCCCTCTCTCCAGCTTCCTTCCGTTTTATTTTCTTGTTCGCGCTTTCTCAATCTCGCGGACCCGACTATCTTGGAGCCTGGAACAGGCTACCTACTTTTCGTTTCATCTAATCCTAAGTTCTTAAAAGTTTTCCCAAAAATATTTCCCACCAAAATAAAGCCAACTAAATACGCAGCAAAAGGAAAACAAGGAGGCAAGAAAAGCGAAAGAAGAAGGGAGAAGAGAATTAGCTAAATTTTGCTTCCTGCGCATGCCAGGACTTAGCGAGCTAATATTTTTCGTGTGGATCAGAAGACCGCTACGTTTGCGGCCTGTAACCCTTTTGAACAACTGCGACCTGATGGAGAGCTTGCTCGCCCGAATTCCCTTTCCTTTCGAACGCCTAGCACGCCCCCTGCCAGGTAGGCTACGATAATTATAAACGTTATTCTAAAACAACTGCCTTCACCTTCTATGCTGTCACTCAAAAGGGGAGCTAAATCTGGGGACTAAAATAACTTAGGGTTGTTGAAAGAGGTGAACAAATGAGGTTAAAGAGCCTTTCTGACCTTTTAAAAGGGAGTAATAAAGCTTTCCCTCCCCTCCCCTCCCCTCCCCTCCCCCTCCTCCTCCCTCTCCATGCAATGTGGTGCCGTTGTGCGAGCTACCTCTAGGAAACAACAACTTACCCGACTTTGAATTGAGGGAAGGAGGACGGTTGTGGATTGTTTTGTTCTCCGAAGTTACCCCATTTGAGGACAATGTCTCTAAAATTTCGTCGTCGACTGAAGCTCTAAGTTAAATTAAAATCCTCGCGCAATCGTTGTCATAAACAATAAGTGCCAATTGCAGTCACACCGCTGTTTCTTTTTGTTACCTGGCTGTTTTGCCGCATGTTAACCCTACTAATTGTCTTTAGATAACCCATTAATACATCTCTCCTTAGGTTGCCACTTTTTCAATTCGAGACACAACCGGACAAGTGAGGACGTTTCATGGCGATCGTATGCGGCATGAACGTTTTGCAGGTAATTAGCTACTGGTTAATTAGAGCGATTTTCGTATGACCTTAAAATGAAAACGAACGGAAGTAGAGCGATTTGATTGGTTTATCGAACGGATACAAACGCGCGTGGCTTTTGGTTGGTTAACCGAACGCCCGGGTGAAAAAGCTTCATGCCAGAGAAAACCTTTACATGGAAATACTGCGCGTTTGACAGTACCTGTGCCTGGACAATTAAGCGATACTATCATATTGATACGCTCTGGCACAAAAGAATCAATAGGCGAGTCTTTGCGTATGTCATAATGTTTACATTTTGATGCACTAACATACTAATTTTACAGATAAGGTATCGTGTTCAACAAAAGTCAACTTCAATAACATAAAGAGGTTATTAAAGTTAGTAACTTGTGTAAGTTTTGGCTCTTCACATGAGACACTTACTGTAATATCAACCATTAGAAAGTGCAAAATTTTAGTGTGGGAAAAGTGTTAGTGAGCCCATACATTGTTTGTATAAAATTTCAAGTTTTGAACACGATTATTTCAAAAAAAAAGATTGGCATTTTGGACTTAAATGTACAGAGAAGAGTTATTTTCGTATTCCTTTTTAAATGTTAAAAATATAATTTTTGTAATTTTGTTAGAAAACGAGAGGCGTATTCTCGATCTACCGTGACACAAAAGAAAATAAGAGAATGCTGGCAGTCTAATGCTAATGAGAATACCAAACAAAGAAGATTCGCTTATAAAACGCACCATTAGTATATATGTTGTAGTCTCAGGCCCTGTTCACACTTATGCGTTTTTAAAAGTATGAGTTTTTGTTGTCATCGAAAACGCATGATCGATTCGCGTCCACACTCTCGTTTTATCGCGTTTTGACTGTCTACACTAAAACGTTCGAAAACAATAGAATTGCACATTGTGACGTAGGTTGAACTCTATGCGCATTCTACAAACGCGCGCTTGCGATATTTTCGGTCTTCCCGTGGTACGTTACGTCATCGTTTTCATTTTGGTGCGTTTTCGACCGTTTTCTAATACGATATGTGCGCGCTTTTGTTTTGATCCACTATCAAGAGCGTTTTCAAATATGAAAACGTCTTGCGTAGTAATGTGGACCGAAGGCCCAAACGCATCAAAATATATACGTTTTCAAACGAAAATGCATTAGTGTGGAGGGGACCTCAAAAGTGTGTAGCACATATCGACTACTTTTAGAAACTGAAACGGTATTTACCCAAATGTAAGAATTGCGTTAAATAAAGAATTCACTCGCATGCAACCTGATTGGCTATCATTGTTTCTCGTGTATCTTTTAATACTTTTTCACTGTAACTTAGGATATGTATTTTTATCCTTTGATTGAATAAAGACTATTATTATTATTATTAAACAAAACAATACGGTCAACAGAAGAAATTACACGTAGCGCAAATATTATCTGCCTTCGTCGGACTGTAAATTTTACGGTGTTTTTTGTTTGTGTGTTTGTTTTTTAACCACCGCACGTGAGGTCATGTTTAGTATAATCTTGGACTCATGGTTAGTGTTTAAGAGAGATATCACATGTTTAGGAATGTTCGCGACAGGGACCATCCTTAGGTGTGGAGCCGTCTTCTGTGAAACGTAGGCCTGGTTTGCTCGTCAAACTATTCATGTGCCAAACTTTTAAAATGATTTACTTTTAGCTTTTCAGTCTTCCGTCGCTACGACCACTACCAACTGAAGCTTATTTGTTCAGAGACAGCAATTAGTCAGGTTATTTTGCTTCAAGACGTCGACAAGCACCACTCTGTACTTTTGTCTAATCCTCCGCTCGCAGCTTTGTTATAGATTTAATCTTCCCCTCTCTCTTTAAATAAACTTTTTTTGTTCGTTTTTGCGTTAGATAAAAAATCTGAAGAAAAACTCCTCAAGTTTCGACATGAAATTGATGGTACGTTGACGCGAATCGGTGGCCCGAATTTCAGCGATATTCTCGTCAAAGAGTTGCACGGTAACCTACCTGGCGACTACCACAAACCACGCCCGCTGCCGCCTAAACTGCTGCGGACAGCGGTCAACGCAAGAGCTAAAGAGGGTTACATATATTGGTACATGGAGAAGCCTCCACCAAAGAGTAAGTTGAAAACAAGTTCTTACTTAGGCTTCTGTGGTGGCTCTTGTGTTGTTGTTGTTTTAGCGTATTTTGTGATTTGTTTTCCTTTTGTTGAAGATGATGTTATGTTTGGTCTGCATTTTTATTTGTTTGTTTGTTTCGTGGTCGTTTTCGTGTTGTTCATTTTACTTTGTTTCATTCCATTCCAGAAGGAAAAACTACTTTTGGCTCCGACAAGACCTTCCTTGGATTGGGCAAGAGGTTTTTCCCTTGATTGACCGCTTATTTATACGAATCGCACAACAAATTAATCATTTTCAATATTTTTATCGTGAAATGCAATTAGTGTTAAGACGCAGCTAGTAAGTCGGTTTACCCTGTACACCTATCGCGCCGCGGAACATTTGCACTCTTTGTATGGGGTTAATGTATATTCGTTGTACTTGTTAGCTAAGTTAATTGTGGACGCAAAGATTTTTAAATGTTACGATGAAGTAGCTGAGAAATCGGTTCTCCCCTTCGAAAGAGTTTTAGCTAGTTCTATGAGGGGTAGTTGTACGTGCGCCAGTTCCCGTGATGGTGTAGTAATTCTAAGAGAATAAATTAATATTTATTTTTCGGATCATGCCAGTCGTGTTTTTTCGTACTCGGTGGAATTTTAATAGTCGTAACTGAGGGTTTGAAGTCTGGAGAGCCCGACTGGATCCAGACATCCAATTTGCGACTTTGACGTTCATTGACCACTCGGTACAAGACCTCCCTAGGGTTTGTAGAGCTAGATTTAGTCGCTTCTGGACCGACAAACTGGCCAAGCTTGTTTTAGATCTGCGCGCGCTGTGATTACCGCTGTCTCTATCTTGGATAATTGGAGCTTAAGCAAAAGGCGTTTTCAGCGACGCACGTTTGCCGGAAATGAGCTCTTTGCACTTTTAATATGTTTTGGTATTACCAAATTTGTATCGCTAAGTGTCTTCACTCCTATAGAGATGATTTCTCCGAAAATATGTGCAAAACTACTGCATATGTATGCAAAATGTTCACTTCCAGTGCCTCGCTAAAAAGCGCCTTTGCTTAAGCTCCGTGTAAATCCTGATCCGGATCGTCCCAAAGGAACGCACCTTATGTTTCTAATGAAGCAAATAAAGCGTGGAAACGCTTGGCTACTTCAAAAGACGTTTTGAGACGCAAGAACGTCCCGCGCACATCTCGTTTAAGACAAAGTATCGATTTGCTAATGTATACCTTGTTAAATTACCTTTGTATCATGAAAACAATACGGACCATAAAGAAATTTATGGGGGTGGGGAATGTTCGAGCCGTATGATTTTTTTTCTTTCTTTTTCGTGAACATATCCCTTGTATGGATTGTTTTCAGGCCAGTGCATTAATATTTTGTTAGGCTTACTTGGCGTGCATGAATTTTTTTCGATAAATTTTCCCTTGCACGAATGTATTGTGTTTGTTCTTTCCCCCCGCACGAGTATATATTTTTTGTACCCCCCCCCCCGCCCCCGTAAGTTTTCTAATAGTCCGCCTCTAAGCTAACACTTCGCGTAGAGAGTCAAAGAACGCTCATTTTAGGTGTATTTTAAGCATCTATGCCAAAAACTCTCCGGTACTCTAAAGATTAGAGACCTCAAAATACACCGTTTCCGTGTACGGGTACGGGTACGGGTAAATTAGCGGTACACATAGATACGGGTAGATTGCCTCTTACCCGAGAGAAACGGGTAGGCTACCGGCTAGAAAGGGTTACGCCATCATCAAATCTGCCTTTTATAAAACTACGAGGTAAACATGTTGGCTTACTCGTACCCGTAGGCTGACACGGTGTATCTTAAGGTCACTATTGTTATGACAGCCTACATGTAATCACCCACTTTTCCATGTTTATTTGCCGGCTCAGTCCTCCTTGCCCTACGTTCTAACCCTTTAATTCTCTAATTAATAATACATGTAGAGTCTTGTAGGGTGGTTCTAACTTTAGAGACTGTGGAAGAAATCCTATGGTGTGACCAGTGAAACCTCTTCTCTAATACTTACACATGGTACGATTTATATTTTAGGAAAATGAAGGTTGGATTTTTGTTTAATTTTGACAGTGCCGTTTCTTGCAGTGAAAAAGTTCATTGTGAAAGCGAGGTCAGAGGTTCTTTTAGCTAAAAAGGAACAACACCGGCGAAACAAAAAGTGAAACACACACACAAGCGATCAAAATAGAACTCTGTAAAACAACCGATATCGAAAACACTGCGCAGTAAACGTTTAGAAGAAAGACTCCATGATTTTTATTTTGGGGAAAAGGGCATAAAAGGCTTCGTCAGAATAAAATGAATTCTCGGCCACAAATTAACTCATACTTTATATCTTTAAATACATCCCTCATTATTAATTTCCCTTGTAAAAGTTGCGGCATTGTTGCGAGGCAAATTCCGCCTTTGGTTTACTCGACGTCTGCCTTAGCTCCAGTTTTTCTCTATATTTTATTTCTATTTTCATTACTCTTATAATTATTATTTTGAGTTCCTAGCGTCGTCACACCCCAGCAAAGGTCTTGGCTATTATACAATAGCTGTTTAAAATCTTGTGTTTGTTGCTGACACGATAAGAAGATTTGTAAGACTATTTTCCTAATAAGCGCAATGCTGTGCAGTGTATATCTGTACTCACGCACATCTCTCGAGGCATAAAAATGCCTTAATCTCCTAACAATAAAACTTTAGTAAACGTTGTAAGTACCATTACTTCAAGAGAGATCTTAATAGATAATGGAGCGTCTAGTTCCCATCATCATGTAGAAGTCCGCATAACTCATTAGATATTTCGTCGATATTTTTACTGTATTCTATAAGATGGAAGTATACCGTATGAATTCGTGCTGGCATGTTGAAAGCTTCCAAAGGATTAAAACTTCAAGCAGGCAAAATAAACAGTGATTCGATTTCAGTTATTAAATAGAAACAATGTAAATACTGTGTCTTCATAATATGCCAACTTGGCAAAAGCACATTTGGTCACCCTTTTAAAAGATAAATTTCGGAGTGACTATATGGTAAGGCGTAAGGCGCTGGCTGCCTTTTTACTTGGCGAACAATTTCTGTGCGAAAAGTTCTTGGGCGCCAGTTCTGAAAATGAAACCACCTTTTACAATCAAGGAAATCACAAATTATGGCAACCTTTTTTGCCGAACCTTTGGAACCACAAGTTAAATCAGTTCCGGAAAAAGGAAATTGAGTTCGTTATCTTTTGTCGCGGTGTACTTCGACTTTAATACCCAATAATCGTTAATTACAGTGTTTTTTTCTTCTTTGTATCCTTTTTTTTGGATTTCCTTCTAGATTTAACCTTTCGGTTGCCGCCTTTTTAGTTAATTTTACCTTTGCCACGTATTTTCTATCCATAATCGCTTTGTGGTGCAATTAAATCATCACGGCAACTTTATCAGGGTCTTGCCTGCATGAAAGGACGCTGCCTAACGTTGCATTTATTAAAATAGTTTGTTTTTAATGACTATAAATAAATCTGAAGAGGCTTTTTGCTAATGATAGGTCAGTTTTATGGGTCATTTGCCAAAGTTAAAGCGATTTGTTGTAGATATGGAAGTGACAAATGCAGAAAAGAACCAAGCACCGCTTCCGCTTTTTTCAGTTTTTTCGTAGAGCGAAAGACGACAAAATAAACCGAAGCCTAATTCTACTGAACAGCTTTTTGTAGGAAAAATGACAAAACAATAAATCAAAAGGGATTATGGTGGGAAATTTATAGCAAGGCGCGCAAAGTTTGGCCAAAGGGGAAATTTTCAACCAAGTGACACTGGCGTTGCACAAGCCAGACTCCCTGAATATAATTTCTCCCCTGGTTTAGGCCTTATTTATCTGGGTCATTTGTTAGTTTAACAATTTGTACCAAAATAGGAGTAGCACATGCAGAAATTATGATCTTGTTGCCACCTTCAACCGCAGGTTTTTAAAACATTTTGTAGATGGAAACGCGAAAAAACATACAAACCTTTCTACAACTTTTTGTAAGGAAGGTAACAAAACAATAAATCCAATTTTGTTGGGAGCTTTATAGCCAGGTAAAAAAAGTTTCGTCCAAGGGTATGAACATAGTGACACTGGGCTACACATAAAAGCAGGCACCTTCAATTTCTCTAGCTCAAACGTCTTTTATGTCTAAAGATGCATTTTATGGCATCTGAACATTAAGTATCATCTTTGAAGAGCGACTATATTGATGACCTAATGGCAACGCGTTCTTGAAATGTTCTTCCTTGATGCGAACAGCTTGAATAATGTGCAAGACCAGCGGGTCAGGAATGTAAAATGTCCGGAAATTCTCAGACATCTAATAGAAATTATCGACGTTGCCCCAAACCAGGAATCCACTTAGTAGACGGATTGGAAAACGTTTTTGCCGATGTTAATGTTCTACCCACCTGTTAGAGGTTATTACCCTCATCCGATGATAATGGCCCGATGATATTTTTCCCTGCAACGTGTTACAGAAAGTCACTTTTGAGACGTTCCGATTATTTTGTCATCAAAAATTCGCCTGCAAACATGGACTGGCCTTTTGTTAGCAAAAGAATGAAAAATAAGACGTCACATTCCTATGTCTTGTGTGCTTTCTTGGCTAGTCGGCAAGAGAACAAAGGGGGGCCCATTGTTCGTAAGAGGAAAGTGTAGCCTTGCCGGATTGTCATTCCTATTCATTGCTAATAATATTACTTTAACAACTGTTTACACTGTGACCAAATTAGATGACAGTTTTAACCAATCTTTCACTAGGCGTTATTGTCGGATTTTAATTATTGTAATTGATGATGATGTTGTCTTTATAAAGCGAGCTTGTGACACCAGCGATTAGAGAAGGTTCGACAGGCAATCAAGAGTTAGTCAAAGCAACAAAAAACGCTCTCCCAGGCAGAGATGGCTGAGTGTGTGGCGGGAGTAACTCTCAAAATTTTTCTTCTTCTTTTCACTGGCTTGCTTGGTAATTGCTTTGCTAAGCTAAACGTGTTCCTTGATGCTCGGGAGGTGTCGCGTTTTCTTTACGGTAAGTAATACTTATGAGTAAACACAACTACATGTCTCAGTTTAGTATGGCATTCGTGCACTCGTCTTTGAGCCAGGCTTTCGACGCTGGACTTCGTTGAGATTTTCACGTGAAAACCAAGAACAGTATTACTAAAGAAAAGTGATGTACATACATATAACACGAGAAAGAAGTATGAAAATCAAATTACAGTTTTTTTCGCTGTTTACTGCCAATTTTCTGTATATTTTTCTTAGCCAACTCTGACAAACTCGAGTCTGGAAACCACGTTGATTATATAACCAGGTGCCTGCGTTCCTATAATCCGTTGGATAGCCCTACTATCATTAATGACATCGAGATCAATCTACTGTTTTCATCAGCTTTTCAGAGCAACATGAGGTCTTTTATCGCCTTTGGATGGCTATGGGTTATTATCGTGCCAGGATACAGCTTATAGCCATCAGGAACATCCGGAGTCACGATAGTCAATACAGTGGCGGGATAGTAGTTTATTTGGATGCTAGTACAGTTTTATAAGTATCCAATTTTCAAAACTATAAATTGCGATATCTTATTATTGTCTAAAAACGTATGCAAATAAACAAACGGTCAGTTTCAATTCTCATGTTCTCGATTCCAAACTGAACATTTCCCAAAATGGGAGACACTGCTTCATGACTCTCTCCCAGTACGCAAGTTCTCCTGGTGCTTATTTGACTTAAATGAAATTAATTTCGCATATTTTCGTAAAGCTAACTGAGAGCGCCAAATAGTTCACCATTAACAATAATTTCATTTTAAAGTCAACTCGATTAGGAACCGCAAATCTCTCTTCCTTCTGGACAAGCTCCACCACAAATAATATGGACCGCACAGAAAGATTATTTTTACCCTTGGAAGTCATTTTTTCTTCCTCATTTGGTCTTGCACTTAAAAATAGAAATAACAATGTTGCAAACGAGATGCACCAAAATAATACCTGTAAGTGAGACTCGTATACTTTGCTTGAAGGGATGCTGCGCAAAGATTCACAAAACATGGACAAAGCGGCTTTATACCCTGGGAACTGTTTCTCGAAAGTTTCGATAATTAACGAGCCAGAAAAGCTATTGTGGTTTACGTCAAAGATCGAGGTTTCAATAGTTTTGTAAATGATAAGATAAATTTATCAATTAAGAAAACAAATGGACTGTTTTCGCAGCTAAGAACTGCTTTTTTGTTTTTTTAGATCTTGATCTGAATATTAGACATTTTTGAGCCGTAACGTCTTGGGACTTCCGAGAAAAGGGCCCCTGATAACTGTGGGAAATAAGTTTTGCATGAATTGTGTATCCTAACGAACAAACTACTGAAAGTCCAACCGTTTCATTCACTTAATGATGCTTTCACTTTTTGACAGATTTGAACACAAACCTTTTCCTCGTCCAAAATGGAAAGGTCGCTCCCATATTGAAGACGCCGATTTTGTCAAGTATGATACCTCCGATTGAGCCATACATTAAGGACCTCAAGTTTAGATTCAACGCAACTGGATCGGTAAGAATGAGTTTTCATGTGGCATGCTAGTGGTTAAGAGTTATCTTTACAGCTTGGAATCGGACGGACAGGAAAAAGCTGTCTCCACCTTGATTTCGCCCGCTTGTCTCTAACCGATCACTCTTTACTGTTAGGCCCTAAGCGTCCTGATAGCTGGAACAATTTCTGAATTTAGGCTAAAGGCTGATGGAAAACAACATTTAATACGAATGCAGACTCATAAATAATGAGCAATTTCCGCTTCTCGCTCCGCTTTCCATAATTACCCTGACTTTGAATGAAGCTGCCAGCTGCTTTCCACAATCTCACTGGCTCAGCTGAAAAAAATCAAAATCAGTCAGTGCTACTTATTTGGCCAAAGGATGGTTTTCTTTTTTTAATTACTTAGGACGACCATTGCTTTAAAGTGCAAGGGTAAGCCGCGCTAAAAACAAAAATTTTTGGGCGATAATTCTCACAAGAGACAGTGCCTTTGTTTTGGTTGGTTTAACCCCTTAGTTTCATAATGTTTGCTTTTGTAGCGGTCAACCATAATCAGTGAGTGACGTTGTAATTACCATGAACATAGCTACGAGCTATCTATTTCTTCAAAAAATTGTGGAAAAATGTTATCTCTCTATGAAAACGTAATGAAAAGCTTCCTTCATAACATGCTTAACTGAATTTAAAACCGCATTGCTAAGCCTACCTGTGAAGCTAAAGGATAAACAAACACCGACTGAAACATTGTTTCCTTTTTTGTCTGTGCTGCCTTAGTTTCGTTAGATTAACTTTAAACTGAATACGTTTGTGTTTCAGCTGAGTGTCATAATAATATGTTTAAAGCATTAGCAACAAATTAGGTCACTGAAATGTAATGAGCAGAGGAAGCCAGGTCCGCTTGACAACTTTGCTGGTATATTTTGAGCTTTCATTAAGTATACTGACGAATGGTCGTAAAGATATTTAAAAAGACTAGGTTCCATAGCGGAAACAGTCCCATATACTAGTTATTATGTACGTAAATTTTAACTTATTTTCTTAAATGAAACTGCATTATAAATGGTATTAATTATAATGAAATTTACGACAGGAGAACTGATTAACTGAGACGAGAGTGATTCAAAATTGTATTAGACACTAAAGTAAACATCTTAGGCCAAGAGGGTGGAGACCTCAAACAAAGAAGAGTTGTAAAATTGTCTGGAAACTGTGCGTTTTTTAATCATAATATCAGCCCGTGGCTTCAATGTTTACTTTGGTTGCAATGGTTGAACCCTATTAGAGCAATAATGGAAAAAAATCACCCGAAAATTAATAACAATACAGTGTGGTATTAAGTACATAAAACAAATAGATTCTGTTATGAGTGACACCCCTTTTGTTGATGGGCTGAAAATTTGGATCAATTTAGTTTTATGGGAAACTGCCCACCTACCCCTCCCCTAAGTCACCATTTTGCCATAGATCAGAAGTAAGTGTTAATGTTAGCTTGAGGGAGGGGTAGGTGGGCAGTTTCCAGAAACCTAAGTTGATCCGAAAATTTTGTTGTAAAAGTTAATAGTTAAAGTATCTCTCATTCGTGAATGATTTTTCAGGTACGGTATTCCCTGAGTTTCAAGTCGAGTAATGAAACCATCATGAGACATCCTACGACCAACATTCGGCTGAATGGACTGGTGCCTAAAAGAACCAAAGGTAAGGCAAGGCCGGCAACCAAGAAAAGCAAAAGCCCTGGGAACGAGGTTGAACACAGAGACGCGCTTGGTTTTGAAGCCATCTACAGTTTCCTAATTGCAAAACTTTTCTTGTGAAAATGAGTTTTACTTGAATGAAAGTAACAAACTCATTTTCATATCAATGGCTCTGCACTTAGCCTCGCCTTGAAACAGAAAGCATGATGTCAGATGCATGCCTAACTGAATAGTCCAGTTTCGAGTACGCTATGACTACTGAATAAAAGAAGTGAAGACCCACTTTTGCAGGCTTAGCCTCCATCTGAAGTAAATATATTCACAAATTCCAACGAGAAAAATACCTGTTTATAACTCTGTCTTTTGTGTATTTTAACTGAATTTCAAACACTTGCCGAAATTTGTAATTATTTTATTTTTTGTCGAGGCTAACCCTGCATGAATGTGTCGTTAATGATTGCATTCAAGGGACTGGCAAAATGTGTTCGTTACACCGGGGTTTCGTTATCTCGAGGTTCTTTTTCATATATTTTGCTATTACTGGGGTAAAGAAAATCGTTCGTTATACCGAGGACGTAGTAGCCTGCGTGGCAGGCGTTTGAAAGCCGGAAGGGAAAGGGAGTTTTGCGAAAGGGAGTTTCAGGCGCGAGAGAAGCGCGGACGAAGAGGTTCGTTGTATCGAGGTTCCACTGTATTTTGCGCTTACGGTTACATTTTATTCTCAATTGTGTCCGTTTTTTTAGTTTATTGTGGCGATGGAAAAGTGTTTTTTGCATAGGAGAGAATACTAGACCTAAGGTGAAACTTGGACAAGGATAGATAGACCCACCTTGCTATGAAAATCATTAAAAAAATGTTATCGAAATTTACGTAAGGAATGCAATGATATCTAACATCTTGTCCCCTTATTAAATTCATTCCATATGATTTAATAATTTACCCCCGCACTATTAACTTAAATTGCACTTTAATGATCCTTCTGGAAGAAAACGTACTCAGCGGGATAATGAACTCTTATCTTTCTTGAAGACTACCAAAGGGTCTACATCAGACAAATTGCATTCTTTCGAACATTTGATTGTCATTAAATTTAGTCAGAGAGCCCAGATTTCTTAAATGATGTTTTTACCACATGAAGTCTTTTTAGTTTTGACTTGCTAACTTTAGAAGCTGGTGAATGAGTAATGCTAAGGTTACATGTAAGATGCGTTTGAAAAGATGTATGGAAATTCATGACTGAAAATTGAGCAAAGAAAATTGTTGAATCATGAAAGTATCGCTGCGACATTTGAATGTGCCATTTTGCAGTTGTGTGCTTAGTATCTGAGCCTTTGAGTGTAAACGTGAGGACAAGGTTGACCTCGTTGTTTCTTTTCTTATGGAAATTATACTTGAAAATCCATTACTAGTTAGCATAAGAACAAGTTAAATGATTGACAAAACAAAACAGGGAGGGTAGCCTTGTTTCCACCTGTAACTGTAAAATGGACTACAGTTAACTCTCTCCAAGACAGACACCTTTGGGACCGGCACTAAGTGTCCGTCTTAGAGAGATGTCTTTCTTATAAAGAGTCAAATAAAGGGAATAAGCAAATGCAGGGACCAACTTAAGGTGTCCGTTTTACGGAGGTGTCCGTCTTATAGAGTTGTCCGTTAAGAGAGAGTCGACTGTATTCCTCAAAACATCGCATCACTTTGGGTATTGACAAAATCCTCGTTTGTCCTCAAAGGAGCTGTGTCACGAATTTTATCAAAATTCCAACAGTAGGACCTGCCACCAAATTGAGTGAAACATAAAAATAACAGCTCAAAACGTTAAAAGGAGGTATTAATAACACAGCAAATACAAAAAGCGGTACGGTAACCTGCGAGCAAGTTCTCCAAGACGCTCTAGCGGCTGGGCGGGAAAAGAAAGGAGAGCTTGCAACTCCGTCTCTGGCATTTCAATTCCACCTCCAATTTCCCTGTGGCTCCCGGTCGGTTGGGCCGTCAGATTTCCGCCAATCAGCGCGAAGCGGAAACGAGCGCGAATGTAAACAAACATTGAAAAACACATGCCAACCACGTACTGTCAAACCTGTCAGAGCACTTGACTCCCGCCAATGCGGCCCTGTCGAATTTCCCAGGGCGGCGCCATATATGGCATGGGTTTTTGATTGGTTCCCGTCCTTGCTCCGTTTTGACTGAGTTTTTTGTTTCCTCTGGGTACTCCGGTTTTCCTCTCGCTCCAAAAGCCAACTTTTCTGAATTCCGCCTCAATCGGAAGTGGCAGAGCCACCTTGGGGTATTTTAATTATCATTTGCTTGTTTATTCATTTTTTTAAGTAATGATAACTACTGCACTGATTATATTTCTATTTTGGTTTCGTCCAGGCTTTCGTGTGAAGTTTCCTTGCACGGGCAGGGTTACTGGGCAAACTCTGCTAACCATCAATATCAGTTTCACTGAAGTGAACGGTGACCAAATATGGGGACCACTCAGTCTTGCTCTCAGGCGATACTGCGTCTCTGGTTAGTACACAGAGCATGGTAATTAATAGTAGGCTAGGAAAAAATGTAATCGAGAGAGCACACTTTTTATTACATCCGAGAAGCTGTCGTCTATCACTTCAAATGCATCGTGCGATTGTCTTACTTGATACTTTTTCCTTTTTCCGCTTAACCAATCAAGGTGAAGCATGGCATATGAATAGCATTGCCTACAACTTCAGAGGGGCTGATTTTCCCATACCCAGATTTCATTCGGTAACCTATGGGAAACACTCATTGAGATGTCTAGCACCTAAATATAGAATAGCCTGCAGAAAAACGTAAGAAATCTACCGATCGCTGCAGTCATTTAAACGTCAGAACCGTCTTGTCAATCTTTCGCTGAAGTTATAGTCTGATTGAGAGAACTGCGTATTATATAATGTAGCAACTGACACACAAGCTGAATTAATTGCTTTATTTTATTGAACATTCTATTTAATGTGAATAACTGTATCATCTTATTGTAAATATATAATGTCCATCTAGTCTAGTTTTATAGTTAATAATGTTGATCTAGGCTAGTTTCTTTCGGATTGTTTATTGTTATTTTAGAATTAGTTTTATTTCAGTGTTCCCAGTTAGTAGACAGTTTTAATCCCCGGTTATTATATAGACACGGGTGTTTTCCTGGAAAATATAACACTCGTAAAATTTATAAAACTATATCCGGGACCCGAGTGGTATATTCTCCATAATCTCACACGTGAGTTTATCGACGACTCTCTATCATTTTATCGATTTCATTTTGTCGATATAATAAAAAGAACATTACACGGTGGCTTGAAGATATGAATTTTATTTTCTCTTGGCACTTTTGCCACTCGAAAATAAAATCCATATCTTCGCGCCACCGTGTAATATCCTCTATTTAAATACTATATTGACAGTTGAATAAAGTCATGATGATGATGATGATGACGATGATTCATCCGGTTTCCTCCGTTTTTTAAATTCCTCGTGACTTTGGCCCCATTTGCTAAGTCAAATGAAATGCTTTGTACGTTTTTACTCGATCCTTTCTCCCTCTTGTGTGTGTGTTTTACGCCCTTAGCCTACGAAGAGAAAACTAAACACCTAGCCATTACGTCCTAATCCCACGCTGTTTCTCTCTTACAGACAATGAAGCTTGGATCGACAATACTCGCTTCAATTCATCAGAATCTGAAGACACTTCGCCACTTCCTCCTCCTCAAGTCTGTAATAAAAAGTGCAACAAGAGACATATGATGAGGCGGTTCTGTTTGAGCGATTTTGGTTGGTAACGTTAATTAACAATTACAGTAGGAAAGATCAAGGAAACCATGTATTGCCACATGTCTCCTCTTGAAAGGGAAACCAGGACAGTCTTGGATTCTGGATTTCGGATTCCGGATTCTTTTTCAGTGGAAATTAGATTCCAGATTTCAATCGCTAGTAGGATTCTGGATTCTGGGAGTAGTATTCCGGATTCGAAAGCCCAGGATTCCGGATTTCACAAGCAAAATCACCCGGATTCTGGAATATATGTGGCGAGACATGTTAGTATGAGTATCAGGTTAACATGCTGGGGGAAAGGGGAAAGAAAGACGCGAACAGGGAAGACAGCGCAGGGAGAGAAACGTCCTCTCTCCACCCCCCCCCCCTCCCTCCCTCCTCTCCCCTAACCTCTCACGAGGGCCTGATACTCGGGCTAGTGACATGTTAGGATATCTTACATTTTTTTTGCATCTTATGTGTTTATTTATCGATTGATTGATTGATTGATAGATAGCGGAACACTATGGGTAAGAAAATTTGGTTATCCATGCATCCGAGAAATTTTGGTAGTCACATGACCGTCCGTCCGTCCGCCCGCACCACAGAGTAACCAACGTAAAATGATCTTTTTTAGTTTTTGTAGCACCCTAATGATAGACGTCTATGTTAAGGTCAATTAACAGCTGTCAGAAAAGGGTATCCAGTGACCAGTATAACCGTACCGCGGGCTCAGGTTTTAAGCTATCGAGGTCATGTGTTATGAAGGATTTTCCGCTAACCAGTTATTAGCTTTAATTGATCGCAGGCTCAAGTTCACTTTTTTTTTTCAGCAGCAATTGTTTCTTGTCTATTGACCCGTCGTCCCGCATCCAATTCTTCGGTTATACTCGTAAAATTTTCGATTGGTACTTTGCCCCCCATCAATTGTGATTTCCTACTCTCGTGGTTTGTTCCTACTTTTCTTCGCTCATTCAAATATTTCTCTATTGATTATCGTCCTTCCACGCCTTCATGTAACTGACAAATAAAATATTTTAATCAGAAAGTTCAATACCAAGATTGCAGATCATGTCGTCATTCTTTTACATCAACAGTCATCAAGGCCCGGATGGAGAATGAAATTATGAGAAATGGCCTGCACGGTTTGCGAGTTCGAGTCTTGCGTACGTATAAAGAAGGAAAAGTTCAGGTAAACAGAAGGCAACTACTGGAGAAAAGGGGCCAAGAAATCACTTGCAGCTGTAGTAATCTGAAGCCAAACAAAGTGTATGTTATCCTTGGTAAAGAGGATAAGAGGAAAAGGGTTCTTTACATTGACAACTTTTCAACTGCCCTTGAGTGGTCAAAGAATGGAAAAGCCCACCTTCGAGCTTACAGGAAGAAATCCTCTTGCCCAGTGAGAAGGTCATAATCATTATTAACTCTTTAATTCCCAGTAGTGACCAAGAACAATTTTCTCCTAACAATATCCATACACTGTCAAGAGTTAAGTTAGGAGAATTAATAAAATGATCACCCAAGGGAAAATGCCTTGATCTATCATCAAATTCTCTCAATTCATTCTTTATGGAAATGTATGGAGATCAGTTTGGAGAATTTGTGTGTGGATACTGGGGCTTAAAAGGTTAACCTGAAAAGGAGGAAAAGGAAACAAAACAATCGAAGACGCAATTTTACTTTTGTAAACACCTTTTCTTAGAGTTATCGATTTCATTTCTAGTTGCGTGCTGTCCAAAGAGAAAAGAACATTTTTTTAACAGAGGTGACATAATTAAGTAGTGGTAAATGACTTACCTGAGGAAGTACTCTCTAAGAATATTATAATTGCTTTGCAGTAAAACCCAGCAATTTTAAAAACTCGATGATGAAGCTCCTTAGGTCATTTAGCTGAGGTGGATAATTAATAATAAGCCATTGTAACTAAATGTATATAATGTACATAATATTGTAGCCAGGGTAGGTGCCATCTTAACTCTCTTGGGGGAGGGGGCTTGGTGCAGTGTCCCCCCTGGTTTCTCACTGTGTTATTATTTCGTTGAAGCCTACCTTACAACTAACGCAAAAATGTGACTACTGCATTCAGTTTACGAGCCTGAGCCGAATTTCAAGGCCCTCTTGTTCACGTGGCGCTACAACGGTGTTGACAGTGTACCCCTGTACTTCCGAAAGAATGAATGCAAAAGGATATGAAGCTGAGTATGATATTATATGATATTATAAAAATGGGGACGAGACAAATAACACCCTCCGAGATCTGCATAATTCTTTATATTATATGAATGCTGAGTCCAATAATTGTTTTATTATTGATTCAAAAAAAATCAAATGTCTCGATCGATGTATTAAGTTCCCGTCTTCATAACTTGGCAAATTCAAACGCCAAGTGAATAAAGGGATTTATGTCTCCTTGCCCGCTTGTCTTTTATACCCTTATGATAAAGAGAACCTTTGGCTAAATTCTGGAGTCATCAGTTGAGCTATGTTTGCAAGAGCGCTACAATAAATAAGGAACATGGATGTGTTTGGGTATAATTTTGGCCACGCAAGATGGCCGATTTATTGATTAAATATAACATCTGCAAACATATTTAATTAGCTATGATTATTTGATTTTTTTACGCTCTGGCAGAGGTGAGGTCGGAGAAAAAAGGCACCCAGAGTAAATAAACTACTATTAAGAAATAGGCGGAGGAGGGGAGGAGGAGGGTCACATTCGCAAAGCTTGTTACGTCTGGAGACCAAGAGGAAGACTTCGGGAAACCCAGCTTGTCTTATACCCTAGCCTTAAATGAAGTCGAGGCTAAGTACTTTTCCGGACGAGCTCGTGACTAGCTGTAGTTTTACAGCAAGTAATATTCCGGCAAGTAATTTACCAGCTAGTGATTTCCCGGCTAGTAATTTTACGATTGATCTCGTGAAAGTCGTGTGATCAATACTTGACTAATTTGTGTCAAATTGGACCCTGCTCACAGCTTTTCCCTGCCGATTACTTACATTAAAGGTGAATGCGTGACTAGGAATAAGTGCCCCTCTTAGCAAACTAACATAAATCATTGCGTGACTAGGTGACATAAACAGTTTATTTGCAGGCAAATAAACTCCTGTGTAGTCGAGTCGCTGTGTTTTTCAAATAGCCGTTGTCATTCATCGAGTGTTGCTTTTGCTGTTCTTGTTGTCTTTTTAGGCCGTAGTTCAGCTATTTTTTTCTTCGCAAAACGTGTGAATTTTCTCCCCTTCTCTTCATCTCTACCAATGAAAACAGCTGAACTATCGCGCCTACGCCTTCTGCTGTTTCTTTTAGCTGTCGATATCTGTACAATTGACGTCAATTGTACTGATATCGATAAGTTTCTCATAAATATGGTCAAAGGTAACTGATTCTGAAGAATTTGCAGGGGAATTTAAGCCACTCAGAAACAGAGAAATATTTGGAATTAATAATAACATAAGATTTGGCGCGGTAATAAAAAGCGCGTTGAATAAAAAAATGTGACACCACTCAAAATGGCGACTATCTCAGACCCAGTCTGTGATAATATCAACAAAATATATTCATTGAAGTCAAAATGAAAAGACAGAACCCTTCGAATGGCGCGGGTTCATAGCCTACAAACCGGCCTAATATGTTGTGTTGTTAATAAAAGGGTTACACTGCAAATCAGAAAGATCTGTTTTAGCCCTAAAAATGGGGCCGTTTCGGTGAGTAAAATACAGTCCTACCTTTGAGCCTAATTTGGCTCCCTTAAATCAGGGCCAATGCAGCCCAATTACCTGGGGCTGATTTGAACCCAAGGGATGAAATGGGCCCCAGCGTGGGCTGGAATAGCCTTTTGATTGAGCTGTTTTGGCCTAATTTGTGCTCAAATGGCTCTAGAAGGGGCTGAATCAGACTTTGGCTGCGCTGAATTCGCACTTTGGGGCTGAAACAGATCTTTTTAATTTTCAGTGTAATTCCAAAACATAACTTTCAGAACTTTTAACCTTGGATATACGTATTGCAATACAGTTCCTAGTTGTTGAAAAGGTGGATAACGCTGACTAGACAATAAATCTCTATCCACCTCAATTTACGACTGCGGCGTAAAACGTCTCAAAGTGACATTTACAGAAGACTTAACATAGATGAGCTGCCTTCCCCCTTCTCTTTCTGAACATGGACGAGCTTTTTTAAGAATCTCACTCCTGGAAAATTTGCCTGCATTCGTCAAGTTCAGCGATTCCTGCTAGAATGTAGTTGCAATGAAGGTTAAAGAATGCGAAAGCACTCTGTAAGTGGCGCTTACGCTGCCATCTCCGTCTAGATTTCTTCAAACTTCACGAGTTGCAATAATTGCACGTTATAAACAAGTGAAATACTGGTGCCAAGAAATTGGCTTATACATAAAACATGAATATATAAATCGATTACAAGTATACTGCCAAGAATATACACCTAATTGCAATAGCATTGTCATAGAAAAACGCAAAAAGAAAAAAAAGGAAAATAAAAGAAGCTGCATAAGAATTAATTAGAGTTACTATAATAAGCCACGCTATAGAGTTCATTAACTTGTCACATTTGCATTTGTTTTTACGCTTAAAAACCCCTATGCTGCAAATGAATGCATCCTAGAGTGGTCTAGTGGAAAGCCTAATTTTTGGCGGCCTTCTCCCTTTTTTGTTTCCATTTGAGCATTTTTCTAAGACAATTATTGCAATGAGGTGTATACTAGTATATATAAAAAGAGTGTACTTTTTCAAACTTTTCTTTACAAAAAAAAAAACACCTCGAAACAGCATTATTTATTGCAGCATAGATGCTGTTTAAGCAAATCAATTTCACGCCTTTTGACCACTGTGTCAGAACAAAAGGCGCAAAGCTGCACTGAAACGGTTCTTAAACGTATACGTGTTAAACTTATTTTAGACGTTTACTTAGGGTATAAATATATAAACTGCAAAAACTGCTCAGTCTGAGCTTCCTTATCGCGTTTTGTAGAATTTATGGCTGAAGTAGAACATTCACAGGAAAAATGTTCCATATGTTTAATCAGGTAATGTTAAAATTCATATTTGCCGTTCTATAAATAAGCTATAAGTCGCTCAGTCGGGATAAGTAATCCGCAATTCGCGCCGCACTCTAAGTCACTGCTTTAACGGGCTGTTCTTCCGCTTGAAACATGATATTCAAATTTACTACCAATCGGATCGATTTCCGGCTTAAAATATCTTTGAATCTAAGTTCTCAAGTGAAATTTGTAAGGGTAACTGTTAAACAACCACTATTGCTTCTTCCGGCGGAAACTACTGTCCCCGTGTTGTGCCGCTCTAGACGCAGGCTCAGAGAAAACTGACTTCTTTTTCTCGAAGGAAGGGTTTGATGCCACAGGTCTGCAGTAAACCCATGCCCTAAATCACCAATCTAAGCAATTTCAAACCGAACAAACCGAAGGTAGTTTTAGTTTGTTTACTCAGTTAAGTGCGTCTCTCATGCCAGTGCAGTGATCATGTCTTCAATATAAGAGGCTGTGATTTTGCTAGTTCGATTTATTTGGGTTTAAAATGCCAATTATGCGTCCATATTCGCTATAAAGCCTACTTGTGAATGACAACCTCACAGCTTCGCGTCAAAAAAAAATTGTCTCCCAAGCATTCGAAATTGCAAACGTTCGATTTCCAAACAACAAAATTGACTAACTTTGAAAAACTGTTAGGTAATAAGCAAGTTTTCGCCAAAAAGCACAATTGCAATCAGTCTCAATCTTCATCAGGTTTGCTCATCCGTGGCTCCTTTTTTATTTGCTATGTTACCTGTACCTTCCTTTAACGTTTTGAGCAACCATTTTTATGTTTTCACTCAATTTGGTGCCAGTTTCCGCTGTCTGATCTCATGACACAGCCAAGTGCCAGTGTCTCGTAAACATGTCTTAACCATTAACCTGTTGTAGAGAACATTTAATTGCATGCACAGAGTTTCGGTCTCTAGCCTATATTCACATAGCACAATATTCTGGGTGATTAACATGTTTATTTTTCGTCCATGACACAATTTTCTGACAAAGTTTAGACTAAAAGCATGGTTTAATTTGGCCATCATGGGTTTACGAAAAGGGCTTGTCTGCATCATATACCGGCTGTACTAGTCAGCTTCTCTTACTGTTTTACAGTCTACCACTATTAATTCAGTACTTCATTTTTATCTCAGAGTACACAAGACACATAAATACAGAACTCCTTGCTTCTTCCATCAGTTGATGTATAACTTTAACACTGGCTAACGGTACTAGTGCTTCTTTACTTCCGGTCAGAAACAACTTTTCAAAGCAAGTCACGCTTGGAGGTGTGTTTCATGCAAATGGCGCAACGAAACGTAAAATCGTTACAAAAGTAAACTTCGCTAGAATTGTCCTAAATTGCCATTTTTGACGACAGAAACATCTAGCGTTCACAAGACATGGATAACATCCGGCTTACAGAAAGTGTGAAATAATTTTCAATGGCTTTTTGACTTTTTATTCACCTGTTTATTCCAATTAAGCACCAGTATATTCACTTATTCATTTTTAAATGCTTTGGAAAACAAAATATTGAAAAATGTCTATATTTTCAATTAAACAAACAAGCAAACAAATGAGCAAAAATAACAACTTATCGGAAAATATCAAGGGCTACCATGGCTTGAAGATCTAGAGTCCCGATATAGAAACGTTTCTAATATCTTATTACAGTTTAACTTATAAATAGTACCATTTTCGATCCGTTTACGTTTCTTTACTATATCATGTGATATAGTATGATATCACTCTTACCTTTTGTTACGAAGTTTATGGGGAATACTCCGATTTCTAAAAATTATCCGTTTCAGACAAACAGGAACTGCATCTGCTCTTCAGCCAGGTGCATGCATGACGTACTCTCTAAGAGCATACTCTCAAGGCATTCGTTTTAAGTCTAATGTTTACCGGCTTAGTTTCGCATGGTTAATATCACTTCTCGGCTTAACTAATTTGTAATTTGATGCTTACAGTCCCTACTATTCTTCCAAAATTCTTTCATTTTACTTCTTCTATCTAATGCAACGTTTAGAAATGGGCTTTAAATGTGTTACCAACAAACAACAACGACCTTATTTCTACGGTGTTAAGCTTTCATGTTCAGTGCTTCAGGAATTTGTGATTGCCAAACTTCACTATTTTTTGTCAGACTGTTACTCGTAATACTTTTTGGTGTCACGTCTTGCAAAGTAAGTTCTCGGGAAATCCCAAATAGAATAAACGGTTGCAATAATATAAAAATATACTTGTTTGTGAACTTATTACCTATGTCAGCCATATCGAGCTGAATTTTTGTGTATCGAAAACTCAGTAAAAACA